AAATTAAAAATTTAGAGAACAATACACGTATAATAAACGCAATTTTTCAATAATAGTTTTAGTTTTTTCATACTTGGTTATTGAATAAAATTTTGTATTTTTATTTTCATTATTTGAAATTTCTTTTTATTTTTGAGAATGAATAACTACGGTGCTGTATATGACAGCAAAAGTTCATATTACTTTGGCAATATTGTATGATATAAATAAATTAGGGGAACAATAAACAAGCACACTCATCCAAATGACGAAATCGGCCACAGATAGAATGGATATCCGAGAAGACTTTAGGAAATGGAATGATTTCTTTAACTCGAGAGGTATCTTCATTACCCGAGAGTAATGAACGTCAATTAATCCCTAGCCCTAGATGGAAACCCTTGAATACTTTCAATTTCGAGAATTATCCCTTAAATAGTTTTTCTTGACTTTGTAAGATACGTCTGTGATTATTTGATCCATATGTGTTTGAAAGTCCATTCTTGTGAAATTTGTAAAAATTATTCCAAGGCCCATCAAGATTTGGATGACTCTAGTTTATTTTGTTATTTCAAAGTATATCAAAATGAAAATTTAGACACTTATGGATATTTACAAATGCCTCATGATAATTTTGTGATGTATATATCCAACTTGGAAGTTGTTTTCCAACAATATTTTGAAACACTTTCCCCTCATCGACATATTCTTACAAAAATTGTATCTTTATTTGCAAAAATTTATTTTGAACACCCTTGTGAACATTTACAAGGTCCCTGAAAATACCGAATAAAGATCAAAGGCGCCGCTTTGTACTTCCAATTTTGATTACTTACTGTTTACAGTTTACTATTCTGTGGTATGGCAGTTGTCAACAGTTAATGGTAGACGTACAGGTTTTGCTGAGGTTAGAGTAAAATTTTCTGGAACAGTGAATTTCCTGAAAAATAATGGTGTTTCACTTTTGAAATCAGTGATTGTGTTTAGTAAAGACCAAGCCAGTCTTTGAAGGAATATAAAAGTGAGTCTGGTGACTCTTTTTTATTGTGAGTTATTACATGTTTTCTTGCTTCCCTTTGAACAGTAGCAGTACATAGTAGACATTGGCTTAAATCGCCTTGGGGATTGAGTTCCCGGGTCCCTCAGATGGGATTCCACCAGACATTAATATGTGTAAGATTAATCTAATAAATCCTGCCCAATCTTTCCGTATTTCTCTTCACCAACTTTCTCCCTTGCATAAGAAAGCAATAGCCAACTTGGAAAATGAATTGAATATTTCATGCACACAATTCAAACAGGAAAAGGATATTTTGATAGAAGCTGATGAATTGATAAAGAAACTAAATTTAATAAAAAGCCGAAAAACCTCATACCTACATATTTACTGATTTTGGACCTTTCACAGTCATTGGAGGAAGTACCAATTCAACAAAAACCCATCCTGTGGATCTGGGAAAGAAATTAGATTTAGTAATAATTGCTAATGTCATTAGTATCGGATCATATCAAATAGGAGTGACATTCACCACCTCTAGGGAGGCAAATCCTTTCTTACTAAATCAAACTTTTCTCTATCAGGGTTACAGAGCTTACATTTTTCAGCGACTACTCACAACGAAAGGCATTATTAGGAACATTGGACTCACTATAACTGCTGAAGAGTTCTGTAAAAATCATTGAAGTCCAGCGATTGGATAGAAAACTAAGATCAGGCGATAAGGTTTCATAAGTATCTTTTTATAGTGTAGTAGTGATTTTTGAAGGTCATAAAAGACCTTATACTAAAAAGTTATTTTCATTTATCTCGATTGTTGATTGTTGTCTTCCAATGTACGAATTGCCTTTGTTTTGGTCATTCTGTTTATCTGTACACAGTAAAGATATGCTGTTCCAGATGTTAGGAAAATCACTATTGTTGTAATAAACCTATAAAATGTATCTTTTGTAATGGTCTATATGAGGCAACTGATCTCAAACGTAATTTTCACAGAAATGGATACACTTCTCCTGACCTCCCAAGATCTTCTCCAGCTGCAGATGCAAATAATCCGGAATCTTAAGCCAGGGTGGTAACCCTAAGGCAAACATCACAAACCAAACACTATAGAAAGACCCACTTCAGGATACGATGTTACCTAACATAGAGAAGCAATACTCAGCTATCTGAAAAGTGCTTTGTCCAAAGTAACTAGTACAAACATTTCTACCAAATTGTACTATTTTTCTATACAAACAAAACAGTATATTTGGGGAGTTGTTAAAAGTGGTAGAGCTAGTGAGTGTGGACTCCTAGTCATATGCATTTCATGGTAATGAAAAGATGGATAAACTTGCAGTACTGGAAAGAAATGCCTGTCTCAGTCATCTACCTGAATTATAGTGAATTATATCCTCATCTCAAGCATGAGCTCTGGACTGTCAAGTACAAGAGAATTGGACTGTACAAAGTTACTAACTACTTTTCAGCTGAGTTTCATTGTCTGACCAATGAACATCTCCATAAAATAAAATTAAAAACCATGATAGTTGTTACTGTAGTCCGCTTCAATTGTTAGTGGTTTAAACTTGAATGCATAATTTGTGCATCTTTTTGTGGTAATCAAATGCTGAGTGACTAGTGTCTAGTTCCCCAAATTGATATTTATATTACAGACTGGATTTCTCATTTTTTTCCCTAGTGGGGATGGATTGTGCTGTCCAGATTCAATTTACCGTGACCTCACTTGACTCCTGAACAAGCAGTGAATTTTTTAGCCGGATAGCCCTGGTAACTCAAGTCATTACATGAAGAAGAAAAAGAAGGCTTATAGTGATTGGGGAAAACCGGAAAACAGGCCATTTATATGTATGGAATCGAAGTCAATGACGCATTTTCTATAATATTCCATTCATAAAGAGCTCAGTGGGCATTCTTTGCAACTTAGTGCCCGCTTGATTGGCTTCAACATGAATGCAGCAAATACAACTGTGGTTTACCTTCATCATTATCTTACCCAGTTTTCAAAATATTATTTTTGGTCATTAAATATAGTGTGGCTATCGACTCATGCCCGAAAACAGGCAACATTGCATTTCTTTTTTGAAATTGATATATGTCGTTTCTTTAATAATTATGTCACTTTTTTTTCCTTGAGTAATGTTACGAGATACAATTATAGTTCGTGAATTCAAAACGCATTCTTATTCAAAACGTTGCAACATATAGGAATACTTTGAATTTGCTTAAATATTGTTACGTTTCCTATTAACATACATAGAGGTAAATCTTCATCAGTATGTGTGCAGAGTGAAATGTCTCAAAATATTTATGGTTTACCTAAAATAATTTTTTGACGGCTTTTCCCACAACAGATAAAATATTATCTCCAAATTAGTATCATCAGGAGATGACTAGAACTCTCGTTGTCTCGTCTCTCAACTCTCATTTTGGGTCGTAGGTTCCACTTCTATCTAGCAAGCCAATAGAGATATGTTATTGATATTAGTAACCTTTATGATTTGATTTATACCAATAGCGCAATATCTCAGAAGTGATTCTGCCTAGATACCTAGGTCGAGACATTCCATGTATGCATGTGTCATACATTTAAATACAAAAATCTTCATCACTCACCCACTGTCATCATACCAGATTATCTAGTCCCACCATGATGAAATTATCAACATAATAATATAATCCAGTAACTCAAATAAACTTTTTCAGTCTATTGAAAACACTTGTCCCTCACCGGAACAAAAAATAGGAGCTCTTGATACGCTAACCAAATTAGCATCATTAGGCATAGCATTTATTGTTCTGGTAAAAAAAAAAGTGGATTCATTTTTCCCCAGAGATTCTTGATTCTACTGATATTTTTTCAGATTACTGAAGTGAGAGTAGAAACCTTTGCACTAATTTTTGGAATGGTTAGAATATGTGCAGCAAAAAACTGCAGTAACACATCAAATTCCACCAAGAAACATACTTTTTTCAAGTTCCCAACGGATTTAGAAAGGTTGGTGACTAAGTGAATAACTTTCCAAGAAATTAATTTTTGAAGTTGGGTATGTTGAAGAGAACTTGAAACCCCACAGCTCTTTCTATGGAAAAATTAATGAAGTAGCAGATATGTTTTGTGTATTTGTTTGTCAGTTGAAATTATCTAGTTCGTTGTGACTAACCGTCTGTCATAATTTGGTGAACCACTTACTCACCCCTCCCCCCTTTTCACACTGTAATATTGATTCTGTCAGTTTCATAAATCAGATATTTCAAACTCAGTTTTTCAAGCAAAACTTCATTGTGAGATTTTCACAATGAAACCTCGTTTTTGTAATACTGTCCAGTAAAATATAAGAAAATAGGCTTTACTGTGCTAAGTCCCTATTGAAGAGTACAAAATCCGGGCTAGTAGGCCGTGGTCGAATGGAACCTGAAGTACCAAACGTTTCGTCTGCTACTGCGGCAGACATCATAAGTGATATGTACATTTATTGCGAGGACGTCCTCGGCCTACCAGCCCGAATTTTGTTTCCTATAATCATACAGTGAAAATCTCACAATGAAGTGTTACTTGAATAATTTATGGATTTTCATCAAGTATCGATCAATTCCATCACATATCAATCTTTCAGATATGACAAATGATTTTTTCTAATTTTGTTAATATTTGAGATTAGTTAGCTGTTTTGGATAAATTATTGTCTTCCAAATTGTATCTGAAAAAAAATTTGGTGCATGATGTGCACATGTTTGTAGAGGATTTTTTTTATGTATTTTGTTTTCCTTCAGAAGTTTCCCACTTTCTATATACTGGTGGAGGAGTAGAAAACCAAAAGGTTTTTTCCCACCCTTACTTTTTGTAAAAAGTTATGAAAAAAAATTACTTTCCATAAATGATTTAAAAAAAAACTGATTCCAGTTGTTTTCAATTGAATTCTCATGGGAGATAGCTGCTATCATTCCAAGCATGAAGATATAAAAATTTTTTTCAGCAGAGATATGCATCGGCAACTGATGTTTGAGCATCTAAATGGAAAAAAAAGATGAGTGTGCTGTTGTTAGTGAAGCAAAATATTAGATCTATATTCACAACTAGCTGGATGATTTCAACTATTTGAACAAAAATAAGTTTAAATATTCATCATGATTACATAAAACTGTTTTACAAGTCACATTTGATATTTCAATAATGATTTCTTTATACTACATTACAAATCTTTGTAAATATTGTAAAAGAAGGTATTTTTATGGTATGTTATTTTAGTTAACATTATGTGAATATTTTTAAATTGTATGCGCTTATTTTTCGTGATACATGTAGAATATTTTTTCTTACACCTCACATCTTTTTTTAGGGCAAAACAGTGGCTTGAAATTTGTAAGAATGAAGTGCAGCAAACAAAGTTGAACCAAATATGTAGCAATTATAATCATTTTGCTATATGCGATGTTCATTTTGAACTATGTATGTTTAATAATTTAATGAAAAATAGGCTCGTATCGGGGGCTGTGCCAACTATTCTTCCAAAAACTGATTCTATTATGGAGGATGAGGTCGTTTCGAGAGCTTTGCCAACCATTCTTCCAGAAACAGATACTCCCATATTTCATTCATCTGAGAATGTTCACATACTGGAAGAATCTATTACTATTAAGGAAGAGCCAATATCAATCAGCTGTTCTTCCATTAAAACAGGTTTGTTCAAATTGACTATCACAATAACATAAGATAATTTTTTGAATTATCGTAAAATTTTTACACGAAATTGTAAAAAAAATGTTGAAGTACTTGTATTCAAAAATCTGTTGATCTGCTGAGGGAAAGTCAAGGTATTTTGTGTTAAAGTAGATTGAGTATTTATCTAAAAAAACAAGTATTTTTTTACTTTTATTCTGTCTACTTATTTCAGTTGAGTATTCAATGACCCCAACCCTGATTTATTAACATGTAACATATTCTTCGATATCTCTTTTGGAAACGAGTTCTAATTCAAATTGATTTCAGTTGATACAAACTGTCAATGGTAGATTTATTAAAAAATAAAGGAATTTAATATGATTCAGATTTGAAATTTCATTCACTTCTTTACTTCCAAACAAGATAATTTGATTCTACTAAAAATGTTATCAGTCAAGTCCTCAGTATTTTCATGGTTTAACTATGGTGACTCAGTATATGAAGTTATCATAAATAAAACCCATGAAAATCGAATTAAAAATTTCAAAATAGCTCTGTTGCTAGACTCAGAAAATATATTCATAAAACGAATAGAATGTCTGAACCAAAGTAGTTGTTATAGATAGCAGTTGAGGGTTTATTAATATCCTCAGAAATCCTTTTACCGCAGGAGACTTTTTTATTTTTTCATCAGTTCTAAGAAGTGCTATATGGAAGACAATTTGAAAACAGACGCTAACGCGAACAATTAGTAGTGTGTATAAGTATGGTTAGCAATTTTTTTCACAAAATATTGAAACCCAAAAACCTAAATCCCTTTATAAAAACTTTAAGAGAGCTAGGATATACGTGGACTGGACATGTACATTCGACCAGCGATTTTTTCATTTTTTTTATGTTGTACATCAATCAAACAAGAGTGGAGTTTTCGTGAATCGGATGGCATATAAATAGAGTTTTTGTATCATCCAGTAATAGACGCCCTAAAATAGTCAACTTTGATACCCTTTAACGAATTCAGTATTTCTTTCTGTTTGGGATATCCCAATGCTGGCTCGAATTTGAATAACCCTATATGCGTTTACTGTTAAAAAAATATGGTGAATGTTCGAATGGATCAAAGAATTTGCATCAAAATTCGTCTAGAAAAATGGAATGGAGTGCTTAGAAACACTTGAAATGGTACAAGTGATACAGCTTTTCACAGAAGATGTGAATGACAACGCTCACCCTGGACGCCCCAGCACATCAACAACCGATGAAAATTTCGAGAAAATGAAGAAAATTGTTATGAAAAATCGTCGAATTACTATTAGAGAACTTGCTAAGGATGTCGGCATATCAAGTGGCTCATACCATGCAATGTTTTCGGAAATTTTGGGCATGAAACGTGTGGCAGCGAAATTTGTTCCAAAATTTCTGAATTTTGTTCCAAAATTTCTGAATTTTGACCAAAAAAATCGTCGCATGAGCATCGCTCAGGAATTGTTGAATGGTGTCAACGGCGATCCAGATTTGCTTAAAAGTGCATATCAGAACTGCTTCGAGGATTGGACTACTTAGAAGGGGACGAAATAGAAATTGAATAATAAATACATTTGTTTTGAGAAAAATGAGAATTCACCTTATTTTTTTTGAACAGACACCGTACATGCGATTTTACATCATTCTTTCAATTATGTATTGAATTTTTCTCTCTAAATAAACATTACTTATGCTGTGGGCATATGTATATTTCTGTATATATTATAGTTCATGAGTGTGTATTTGAGTAAATAATATATATGCATATTCAGTGGCCCCTGGATTGATGTTATGAAAGTGATGTGATGGACTAAAATGTTTTGAAGTTTATTTTAAGATTGTGGGATTGAGCTCTGTTTGAAGAGAAATTAATTATGCAACTTGTTTCAGATCTTGAAAAATATATTTTTTTCAGGCAATGTATCTTTTTGTTCATGATATGTAAAAATGTTACTGTCAGTCAGGGTTCTGGACAAACCACAGCTGCACAACAGCTCTTTTGAATGTTGTAGATGATTCACATTGTTGTGTTGACAATAACAAACTTTGTCTTTTAGTATGACTGGACTACTCTAAAACATTTGATCGCATTAACTACTTCCTATTTCCGGCGATACTGAAGTACCGGGGTTTTGCCTGTAGCGTGGTAACTCTGTTTGAAACTTATCTGCTAAACCGTTCTGAGTGTGTCATACTCAATAACAAAAAATCGACTACCTTTAAAATAAATGATGGGGTTCCTCAAGTATCGATTTTAGATTCAGTTCTCTTTGTTTTATATACTTCTCAGTTCTCACAATGCCTACTTTATACTTCCATGCATTGTTATGCCGATGATACACAGTTGTATTTACAATTCGATGTGAATTTACTCAATACATTCTCTTGATTAAATGAGTTATGACTCATCTAAATCTTATATCATGCTCTTCGATAGGCCAACTATAAAGAATTGAATTATTAGAGACGTCACGAAAAATTTAGGCCGTTAATATCTGAAGAAATAGGGTAGGATCCATGTCTATTGAAATTTAATATTTGTGTTAAGTGCTGTTTTCTATTTCATTAGGAAGATTTAAATAAATTATTTGCACTTCCTCTTACACCACGTTCAATTTTTCTAAGAGAATCTTATGATCAACACTATCGAAAGCTTTTAAGAGGTCCAAACACATTGTAATAGTATTTTTCCTTTAATTCAGTGAATCATATATGTGGTGTTCGCCGAAAAAAGGTACCTACATAGTGTGTCAAAAAATGAGTTTCGACTTAACGATGGTTTCGGACACATGAAAGCATACTCTTTCACGTGAACTTCGTCTTGCGAAAAAAAAAATTACGCCTTTATTTAGTAATCGTATGTTCAGAGCCATTCGCCAAAAAAGCTACGCCAAAAGGTACGACATATTCTTCAAGATCTACCATGCTGATGGAGAACTATTCAGTTGTGTATCATTCAAATTCTCCTCAAACTCAGCATACTTTATTTCACAATTTTCTTATGTAATATTTAAACTAGAACTTGATGAAGATTCATTTTCATTACATAACGCATAATATATACCATTAACCGCTTCGAACTCTTTATCTAAAACCTCTTGATTCTTTTTAAAATCGTTACTCACGATGAAATTCTCACGAAAATCACGTCGCAGATTGAAGGAATGACGACACATACACCCAGACTAATGATATCAAGACCTTACACTCCACTGAAGGTGTGTTCATAGTAGTAATACACTGCAAAACTTTAAACGTGTTTTTCTTGAAAACTTTTTTTATACACTATATATCTTTTATCGGCGAACACCATATATTTCTACCAGAGCTTGGTACATTGCATTTATTGTGGAGTATCCTTTCTAAGGCAATTTTGACAGCCAGATGCGACAAAATTTTTCTCTAAAAATGAAATTTTCTTATTTGTTTGGAAAAGATTCCATGATTACAGTGACCAATGAAATTATTCTAGAAAGAAAACCTTCTACTGGTACCATAATTTGTGAAAAAATTGTTTTTAACATATTTATATTTTCTGAATATTTTTCCCTAGAAATTAAAAAAGAATGTCCAGTGGAAGATTTTGAGGATCATGAAGTGAAAAGCTGTCCAAAGCAAAGTAATTGTCAAGAGAACATCTCAAACCCCTATGAAACTGATCCACAATTTCATGAAAAACAAGAGTCAGATTTACCTAGTCAGATTCAACATAGAAAATTAGAAACTGTATCATGTCGAATATGTTTAGTTGCTCTGGATCGCAAGAAAAGCGCTCCTCTCTCGGACAAGTGTCATCCTAAGAAAACCATAAAGCAAATGATAAGATTTTGTATACCTCATATAGTAAGAAAATGTTCTGCAATAATTTGAATGGTACTTATATTTCATTTTCGTAGAATTTTAGACTTTCGGACAAGCATTTTATCTGTAGAAAATGTCTGAAGAATCTGAGATTGTTCGTTAAATTTATCGAGGATTTTTTAATAGTGGAGGAAATTTTGAAGGAAAGAAAACAAATAAAAGAAATTGAATTCATTGAGGTCCCAACCGTTACGGTCACTAACGATGAAACATCAGCTGAAGTACAATCTAAGCCTGCAGTAACTTTAGAACACGATTTTTCCAAATTAGAAACAAGATCTGCACCAATAACAGTCGAATCGAGTCCAATGACAATCAAAAGAGAAATATCAGACGATGATATTTTGGGAGAAACTCCAACCATTATTGAAAACATTACTGCTACCCAGTATATTCCTCATAAAATTGAAAATACCTCACTAGAATATTCTTGTGATATGTGTAACAAAGTTTACCTCGAATCCAATAAATTATATGATCACCAAAAAAAGATTCATGGAGTTGAATGTAGCGCTGGGTACGATTGTCACAGTGGCAGTTTGCATTTCGCAAACAAAGATATGGAATCACATTGGTATATGCACATCGGTTATTGCCAACACTGCCAAAAAAGGTGATTATTATTTTTCTGAGATTTTTATTTTCTTTAATGTATCATTTTCCAGTTTGCCAGCTGCATATTCAGAAAGCTGTAAATGTAAAGGACTATATGAAAAATCTGATTCACAGGATGAAGAAATTATTCGAGATGTTGATGGACGTGAAATCGATCAAAATGAACCAAAACATGTTTGCGAAATTTGTGGTATGTTGATTTTAAAAATAGTGGATGAATCTCTAGTTGCTAGCTTTATTTGTATTTATCAGATTATAATTCATATTCTAAGAAAATGAAATAATTGTGAGATGAAGGTGGGTGAGTATCGTATTTGATAACAATTCAAAGAATGAATTTTTCAGGACGCTGTTTTAGTCTAATATCAGATTTGGAAAGTCACCTAAGACTTCATGTTGAGTCTAAAAGTTTTACATGTGATAAATGCTCTAGATCATTTAGAACAACGAAAATTCTCAATTTTCATAAATTGTATACTCACGACAAAATCAAATCTAAATGTAAATTTTGTGGAAGAAGAATGTGGAACTCTATGTTAATGAAACATTACAAGTAAGTTATAATAAAAATAACCAATTTCTTGATATATTGTTGCTGAGTTTGAATTGAATATTTTTCTTATGATTTAATTAAATTCAGGGCAAGATTTATAAATAGTTCAAACGCTCCTGGGTCCAAAAGTTCATGCCGCCCCCTTCTAACTATTACAAGAGGCCTTTAATAGATCTGAGGCAATTGCTCTACCCCACTTTCTGAGGGTTTACTCCTATTATTAATCATTTTAAAACTATACAGGCCGTTTCTTTTATCATGTGGTAACATTGCTATATTCTAAACCGTAACAGATACGAAGACGATTAAATGGGAAAAAAGGTAACTGTCATCGGGAACAATACAATGGTCGTAGAAAATTTACGGGGACTATCTCGCCCTTCTCGAGTTATACGGGAAAAACCAAAAATGCCGTTTTTCGTTTTTTTCGAATGGAATTGTTATTTCGGAGAATATCAAAACATGGAAAAGGATAATGTTATTATATTCAAAGTGTACTATGACTACGTAATAATAAATATTTGATAAAACATTTCGTGTCAACATGGCCATCATCAACTTTTTTTTTTAAATACGGACCTGTCTTTTTTATTACAGATATTGATAAAGCGATAAATTCACAATCCAAGGGTATATTACACTTGATATTTTTATAGCGTTTCATTTGAAATAACCACCATCATCAGTGACAACAATTAAACAGAAAAACAATTAGTTTTATCATGAACTCTTGGGAAAAATGAAACCAATACAAAAAATCAAACCTAAATGGCAATCTACATTAAATGCTCGAATTGACGACCTCTTTGTTGAATGCACATAAGTTGTCAGTCCAAACAATTTGTGTGACAATTTTATAGCATATTAGGTGTATTACTAATATATGCATCTCTTTTTTTTTGTTTGAGATGGTCGATATCTGTACTTGGTGTATGTATCCCCACAAAAAATCTCGATCTGGGGATCGAGTTGGCCAGTTAATTGGTCCATTGGTCGGTCGGTAGCCAAGCGGTTCGACGTGGGTGCTTTGTTCACTCACTCGAATTGACTGCCGTGTTGGTCGGTGGTTCAAGCCCTAGTCTGAACGATCGATTTTCACTTGCTATCGTCCAACCCGTGTTAGGAATCACACGTTAAAAGGTAAGACCTCGTGAATCCTTAGCTCGCACAAGTTTCGACTTCTGAGGGGTGCAACAGCTGGTTAACGGAAAAACATATTTTAAACAGATTGTTTCAATCCATTTTCTTGGGAATATTGCATCTAAATGTTTCCTTATTATTGCTGCATTGTGGGGAGGAACGCCGTCCTGTTGAAAATATTGTATTTCATGGCGGAGTATTCAGTGGCAAATCATATGAGTAGCCATCGAATTCATTGAATAGAAAATGAAGATACATTTCACTATTCAAATGATCATCGTAAAAGAAAGGGCCAAGAATGTTTGTTCCCACAATTCCCAACCAAACATTTATTCCGAACCTTTTCTGGAAATTGGTTTCCAATTGTATTATTCCACCTATAATGGATATTTCTGTTAAACCTACCAGTTATTACAAAAAAACAACTATTTGGGAGAAAAAAATTCAAATCAAATAATTAATGCAATCGATATAAAAACAATGTATTAATACATCCGATAAGTCCGATTCTTCGTCGCTTCCACTATCATTTTTTTGTATGAAGATGGAGAAGTAGAAAGTCAAAACCTTTCTTTCCCAAGATTAGTATTTATATATTCTTTGATTACGTCGAAATTTTCAGAAATGCTTCAACACCCTCAATCGAATAGAGCAAATATATTACTTTTTCAGTAAATCCTAGCATAAGTGTTGAGAAACCATGAAAAAATGATTTTTTTTATGAAGTGAGGAATGTTTAGGATTTTGTTAATGTAGCATCCCAACAACTTCAACTTATTCACAGTACAAAAGCACTTATGATGCACTGTTTGGAACCTTTGGTGTAGTAATGAATATTACTAGAGTTTTTTCCCAACACCAAATCGCTATTTTCAACACCTCGACACGTGTTTCGATCACCAAGTGATCATCTTCAAGAGGAAGATTGAACTGAAGATTAATCTTCCTCTTGAAGATGATCACTTGGTGATCATCTATGAATATTACTGGAGTTTTTTCCCAACACCAAATCGCTATTTTTAACACCTCGACACGTGTTTCAATCACCAAGTGATCATCTTCAAGGGAAAGATTAAACTGAAGATTAATTTTCCTCTTGAAGATGATCACTTGGTGATCGAAACACGTGTCGAGGTGTTGAAAATAGCGATTTGGTGTTGGGAAAAAACTACAGTAATATTCATTACAAAAGCAGTTCAATAAACTTTAAAATTGTATTATAAGTGTATTCCTATTAATTGCAAGATTTGTCTTTTTCAAGAAAAGTATTCTGAAATTTTTAGGTTACTGTTAAAGTGGAAACTCCTCTTTCCATTTTGATCGGGGGCGTATCCCTCACGTATATTAGTCGTTCTATAAAAACATCTTAGTAACCAAGTAACCAATCTATTCAGTGATCTTGTATGATATGTTGTATGGTCGAAGGTTGTACATGTCTAAGGTGTACTTGAAACCAAGACCCTGATCCCCTATCTTGGTAAAATAGAGACAATAACGTTGAAAAAGATTTTTTCTCTAGAGGAAGCGGCAGTGCACTGAACCTGGATTCTAAAGAATTCTAACTCACGAATTCTACAGAACTTTCAGGAATTCCATTCAAATTTCCATGCATCAATATTCGAAGATATTTGGCAACCACAATTGTGATTAGTCTTGCATGTCTTTCGAAATGATCCAAATTTTCCACCTTTTTCTAAATCAGTTGTAGAAATTTGAAAGACTATATGAGGAAAATATCATGTGGTATAGGGAACATATGTGGACAAAAGTTGTTCACTTGAAACAAAAATATTAGTTCTAAATCTAGCAAGAGAAAAAAGACAAAATTAATTATTTGCCGAACCAGTATTTCATTTTGTCGTTCATAAAGTGTTTGTGTTGAATATTCTTAGATTTTTCTCACTTGAACATTGTATTTTATATTATATACCCCTGAAATAATTTTGGTAATTATATTGTGTATTACATTATTTCCAATATTGAAGTCAAGATTCATTAAAAAGATTTGTCTAGTTCTGTTCCAGAAGTTTCTATGCCTTTAATTTTTCATGCATCCTCCCCCGCAAAACAAAAATATTCAAAGATATGAATGAATGAAAATTTCAATATTTTCGGAATATAGTTCTAGAATTTTTTTCATAATATCTGGGATGATATTAAAACTAAAGACGGTTCTGAACTTTTTGTACGTATTGGGCAAAGCCGACCCTAAGATTTACACCGAAATGTCATCATCAAGGCAACGTGCACTGTTTATGAGTAAACTTCTATACGGTGATCAAGGTCCCTGAAAATACCGAATAAAGATCAAAGGCGCCGCTTTGTACTTCCAATTTTGATTATTTACTGTTTACTATTCTGTGGTATAGCAGTTGTCAACAGTTAATGCTAGACGTACAGGTATTGCAGGATTATATCATTATTGCATGTGCTGTGATAAATTTACAGGATTCTCTTGTTCAACAGATACTTGATACATCATTTAATAATAGAATCAAGTGAATTAATTAGAGCACATATAATAAGAATGACATGATCTAGTACACAAAGTGTATCCATTGGTAGTTGTACCAACCCACTAGTATAATTTTGTAAATAATTATTGTTTTGGTAGTAGTGCTGATAATTCAGATAACATTTTGTTATTTCAGGTACCAAAAGTACATCTACCTACTATTTCATTGTATATTCAAAAACTTGTGAAAACACTTTAGTCATTAAAAAATAGTCTAATAAACCGACACTGGTCGTAACAAAAAAAATCGTAGTAGAAATCAGACAAAAGTTATTTTGTTTATCATATATTCAAAATAAATTTCTACAAGGTAAACTATTTGGTCATAACGAAATGAATGAGACCAAAAAACGGTATATCAATGGAAGATTTCTTTTCATTTTCGTCAGTGGTTACGGATTCAGCTGTTCTCTGTGTTGAATATAAATTTCTATTTCATGTGATTATCGAAAAGAAATGGTCTTTGAATAACATTTGGAAGAAAGTTATTGGTGATTAATGGGATAAACGAATAAAATGTATCTGTTACTATGTGGTAGATCATCATGGAAAATGAGAAATGAAACTTACTATGATTTTTTACCACTTTCATTTGTAATTACCGTTAGTGCACATTCCTACTATAAGGATATTTTCAAACTAATACAACAGTCAAAATTGAAACTCATTTTCTGCCTTTTCTCAGGTACAGGTGGTAATGGATCTGAAATGTCTGATGGTATGGGATAGAAAGAATTGATTACAATTCTTTCTCTTAAATTGAAACTCTCTGTTTTCAATGTTGAAACTTTGGTCTGAATCTGAAACTGTGTTGTGTACAAGAGCTAACTCTGAATATGTATTATTATTGTCAAGAATCATTTCAACTTCCATCAGAGGCATGGAGTGTTAAGTAGTTATCCAATAATTGCACCACTTATTTTTGAACCCCACAAATGTAAAATAATATCGATTTTTTTGTAGAAAACAAGTCAGTTATTATTTTAGGTCTCATCATTCCAAAGAGTTGACATTATTTTGTAAGATATGTCAACAAGATTTTATCGGAAGAGATCTGTATAAGAGCCATCTTCGCAGTCATTTTTTGAGAGGCCAGAAGAAGTACACAAATAGAAGTAACGGTGATACTGTCAGTAGAAATGAATTAAATAGTGAGTTTATCTTGATATATTACTGATATATTTTGATATATTTTATTTTCAGCCAATGGTAAAAGACTGGGTCGAGCTGAATGTGAAATATGCTCTCTTACATTTTCAAGCGATATGAATCGAGATGAGCATAAAAAAATTCATGAAGATTCATCCTACAGTAATAGGTATTTTAAAAAACTATAAATTACTTTGTTGATGATAAAAACTAGTTCAAAAATGATAACTTGAACTACGAAATTCTACTGCACGAAACTGATGGTATTGGTATTGGCACTGTATCTTGACGCAACCTTAAAATTATGTATGCCGAATTATGGAAGACAATGTCCCATGATTTGCCAAAAGTAGGCTCGACATTCTATTCTGCATCAGGACATCATGTGCTGAATAGATTTTGTCAGGAGACCTATACTTTCTGTGAGGCCTTTCGTAGTTTGACAACTTTTTATAAATTTTACTTTTTTTGACATTAGTACAATAAGACGACGTTTATTTTATTTTTTAAGGAATTTATATTCAGATCAATAGAATTTCAACTAATAAAACCCAGTAATTGTAGAGACTTATCAATTATAGAATTCATATGAGTTATGAAAGTTAGAGATTTGTCAAAGATAACACCCAGGTCACGAGCCTCATCAATGCTACTTAATTAATATTTATTCAAAAAGTAAACTCGATGGCTACTTTCTAGAGAAAACCATGCGGTGATATCTTTTCATATTTTAAATCATTCCATTCTTATTCCTCCAGAGCCACAACCCATCAAAGTCCATCTGAAGTTTTCTGCAGTTTTCAGATTCAACGGTTTTCTTGTAAATTTTAAGATCACCTGCAAATAATATAAAACTTGAGTGTTTTATTACGTTAAAAAAGTCATTAACATAAAAATTTAATAATAATGTACCAAGATATGATCCTTGTGGCACTCCTGATACAACGCTAATGAGATGTTCTATGAAATTCTTCAAGCATACAATTTGTGTTCTATCAAGCAGATAACTTTCCATCAACGTGTCAGATTATATGGAAACCCAAAATTATCCAGATAAAATTGCATTAACTGAATGTTCAAATTCAAAACCAATATTAGGTCATGCTAATGAATTAACAAATTGGTAAGAGTTGATTTTCCGTCAGTGAAACCGTGTTGACGATCATTGATAAGATATTTACAGTGTCAGCATAGATGCCCCTCTATGAGATCCTCAAGCAAGTTGGGTAGTATAGCACATATCCATTATAGAAATTCCATGATAGTTTTTTACATCGTTTCTCCAGCCATTCTTGAATAAAGGTGTGATGTTAATAACGACATTTTAGGCAGAATATTATCTGAAGCGACACGTTGGGGTTATTATTTCCAATGCTTCCAAAAAATTCATCTCCCTTTCTTGTTGGAAGCATTATAATAATCCCAGATTCAAAACCCTCAATGATCAACAGAACAAAGAATGATCTTAGAAATGAGAAATGCAACTATACATACATACAGAGAAATGTCAAATATAGCATTATGAATATTTACAATAAATTTCCAGTCACTCAAAGAAATCTTGCAATTTCAACAATGAAATGTTGTTTGAAGAACTACCCTGTAGAAAAACCTTATTGCTTTCTGGAATTCTTAAATGATAGGATGCTAACTATATTAAAGTTATTTATATATGCCCGATTTTATATATATTTTTTTGTCTTGTGTGATAATATTGATTATGTATGCAAAGCTTTGATTTGTTATTCAGTTGTTATTTATTACTGACATGTTCCACACTCCTTGGAGTTTTTATATGTACATTATATGTAACCGGAGCAAATAAAGATCTATCTATCTATGAATTTTTGATAACAAAGTTAGGATCCATTGGTAGTTGTACCAACCCACTAGTATAATTTTGTAAATAATTATTGTTTTGGTAGTAGTGCTGATAATTCAGATAACATTTTGTTATTTCAGGTACCAAAAGTACATCTACCTACTATTTCATTGTATATTCAAAAACTTGTGAAAACACTTTAGTCATTAAAAAATAGTCTAATAAACCGACACTGGTCGTAACAAAAAAAATCGTAGTAGAAATCAGACAAAAGTTATTTTGTTTATCATATATTCAAAATAAATTTCTACAAGGTAAACTATTTGGTCATAACGAAATGAATGAGACCAAAAAACGGTATATCAATGGAAGATTTCTTTTCATTTTCGTCAGTGGTTACGGATTCAGCTGTTCTCTGTGTTGAATATAAATTTCTATTTCATGTGATTATCGAAAAGAAATGGTCTTTGAATAACATTTGGAAGAAAGTTATTGGTGATTAATGGGATAAACGAATAAAATGTATCTGTTACTATGTGGTAGATCATCATGGAAAATGAGAAATGAAACTTACTATGATTTTTTACCACTTTCATTTGTAATTACCGTTAGTGCACATTCCTACTATAAGGATATTTTCAAACTAATACAACAGTCAAAATTGAAACTCATTTTCTGCCTTTTCTCAGGTACAGGTGGTAATGGATCTGAAATGTCTGATGGTATGGGATAGAAAGAATTGATTACAATTCTTTCTCTTAAATTGAAACTCTCTGTTTTCAATGTTGAAACTTTGGTCTGAATCTGAAACTGTGTTGTGTACAAGAGCTAACTCTGAATATGTATTATTATTGTCAAGAATCATTTCAACTTCCATCAGAGGCATGGAGTATTTTACCTGGACTTTTGCAGTTTTAATGAACAAATTGTTGCCTCAACATTTTTAGTTTTCACTTGAATAATTTTGTTCTTACCGTAGAAGCGACATGTAGATATTTTCAAGGCCATAGACGGTAAGAAAATCAAATACCATTACCTACATACATTTACCTGCATTTCTGTGGCAATGCAAATAAAGATATATCCTATAAATCGAAGGAAACTTTGAACCACGTGTTCATCTCTTGGAGTAGGCCAGGTCTTCACAACATTCATCTTCGTTGGATTGGCCTTTATTCCTTTCTTAGAAATTGCATAGCCAAGTATATTTACTTGTTTCTAGAATATGAGTACTTATGGGGATTCAACTTCAGACTGGCATTTTTTTCCAGTAAATACCTCTCCTTTCCTATTAAAATTATTTCATCTACAAGTGGTACAAAATATTCCCAACAGAAAATGTAGTTTTCTCTTTGTCTTCAGGATGAATTTCGTTTTGCCAGTAACCGTTCTTCGGGTCCAAAGTAGAAAAGTACTTTGATTAGGCAAGCGTAGTAAAGGTGTTGTCAATTCTAGGTATTGGATAATTATTTTTCTTTGAGACATCTAGCACTAGTGCTACAGCGAAAATAAATATTTTACTCATCTGTGCTAGTGCTGTGGCTTGCTTTCTCCTCTTCTGCACAACTGTTGGTTTTGGCTGCTGCAACAATATATGACCTATGGTGACTGCCCATCGAGGTTTCATAGTTTTGCCATGTGAAAGTATTGTTGCTGTTAAGGCTTCATTTATATAGTAGTAATCTTTCCTATCAAAAAGGCTTGATTGGCTATGTTAATATGATCTTGTTAATCTTTTAGTTTATCTGTTCGTTCAGTTTTTTTTATTCTTCTTTTCTGTTTCTTTCATCTCTTTTATCTTTTCCACAATCCGTTAATTGATCTTGCACCAACATTTTTGCCTCCTTTTACTTGGTCACTGTATGTCTGCCCTTCCCAAACATCTTTCATCTCACTTCGAACGTCTTTGGCTTCACTTCAAACACCTCTGTTTAAAATCTGTTTTTCCGTTGATCAGCTGTCGCCCCCCATACGAACGACAACTCTCAGAAGATGAGAAACTTGTTCGAGCTAAGGACTAACGAGGTCTTACCTTTTATCGTGTGATTCCTAATCTTTGCCTTCACTTCGAACATCTTTAGCCTCACTTATAACTTAAAATATTTTACCTTCAACTAATTGAACTTTTTTGTTGATTTTTCAAACCGATCGTGCACATTGGTAACAAGTTGTCTAAAGCAAACATACCTCGGCGCCTATGCCATACAAAAAAACTGCCGACGTACGGTAACTATTTAGTTTTTACTAAAGAGTACACCAACTACCAACTAATCTTTCCAAAGATTTTCAAGGAACTAGGTATGAAGGTGGTTTTTAAAATAAGTCATACACTACAGATCCTTTTAGGAAATCCAAAAGACAAAGTTGACAATTCGGAAAAGTCTGGAATTTACGAAGTTAAATGTAAGGATTGCGATGCAAAATATTATGGACAGACAAAAAGATCTATTTAAATAAGATATAAGGAACACTTAGCACACTTAAATTATGGAAGACCTGAAAAATCAGCAGATTTTCCATCATATTTTGCAAAAAAACCATTCCATAGACTTTAGTTCATTAAGATTAGTTAGAGAAGTTGACAACAACAGGCATCAAGATGCCTATGAGAGTGTAGAAATAAGTAAACATAATAATATTATGAGCAACGATGGTGGACCAATAAGTACCTAATAGTATACTATATAGCTTGTTAAAATAATATATTAATTATTAGATTTACCTGACTATTACATACCAACACATTGTAAAATTAATTAAAGACAAGTAAATAAGGCAATTTTTTGAAATTAATTTGAGACGCAGGTATCTATGGTATGAATAAGGATAACACTGTAAGTACGTATATTTAGTTTGATCTTTCTCTTGAAGATGATCATTTGGTGAACGAAACACGTATGTTAAAATATAACGGTTTGGTCTTGGGAAAAAACTCCAGTAACATTCACTACTACTCCAAAGGTTCCAAACATTGCATCACAAGATAAATATAATACGCATAATGAATAAAGAAGGTGGATTCTAGTGCAACAAATCGTAGATATGAATCAAATAATAGACAAGATTATTAATCATGTATTGTTTTGTGAGGAAAACTATAAAAATATGAGTGCAAGTATAATAATAGCATTCGAGGAAGTGACAAACCACAGACACGTGTTTCGGGCTTTTGGTCCATCATCACTATGATGCAGCAATGGGCAACGATGGACGACACATGGTTGTCAAAAGAAGTAGCCATCAGCTAGCTATGTCCGATAAATTATCTCCTGGATTCATATCAAGACATTCAAAAATCTGCCCTGCCCTGATGTCACACAGGTAGCTATAGCTGCCTCCGTGGGAATTTTTAATAGTTTTCTTGTAAACACAAGATTCATTATCTGAAATCACAAATATGCGGCTGGCTTCTGCTGATTGCTCCAAGCATTTGTACGCACGTAAATTCCCGTCAAGCTTGACGCAAAAGACCGCATGCACGACGATGCATGAAAAAAGGCACTGTCTGAAGAAACCGTTACTTTATGAACGCACCCAATCGTACATAGAACTACCTTGTGCTACTAATGGAACATAAGCACAAGTTGACACTGTTTTACGAATGGAAAACGCTCTAATCATATTTTCATTTTGACAGTTTGTTTATTAATTTTGACAGTTTCGTTCTGTATTTATTGTCATGTCTATGAATTCTGATAATAGTTAATGAATTTGGTTAACTGTTTATTGTTCTTTTTCGTGTAGCGAAGAAATAATTACGGTGTTTCAGTTAAAAGGCAGTTCTTGGAAAAAATTTAAATCGTAAATAGAGTCCAAAAATTGTACAAAATGCATTGCTGTTGTGTTCCTCTTTGCAATAGTTACACTGATTAAAATATTCAATTGTTCCTTATATCCCGAGGAGATAGACACAAGCAAAGAAGAGGTCAGTGGATTAAACCTATAGAGAAATACTACCAGTGAATGCTTATATTTGTGAAATTAGATGATTGTGGTTCGAAATGATGACAACAGGATAAATTTCTCAGCCCCATTTATGAACAATTTTTTATAAAACATAATAATGACTTCTATCCTCTGATATTTCGCATTTTGATTATCAAGATGAAGTTTCATATATTATTAGCTGTATTGACGCTAGGTGCGACATGAATTATAAATTTTTTTTTCCATTATAACATCCATCAGGTCTCCAGACTCGCACTAGGGCAAGTCTCTGGGCTTGTCCTGATTTATCAGTTGGGTATGGCAGGTAATGATCAAAATCAAAATTGAATTTCTCTATCAATCAATCAAAATATACTTTATTGTCGAAAAAACTCTTGTTTTGTTGACAAAGTAGAATATACACGTACAGAAATAAATTTCAGGCAAAATACACACAATTATGTAAAATATAAATAAAATAGAATAAAAATAAAATTGTTATATAAACATACAGTATATAAACATATACATTTATCAATTATACATTTTATTCAATAGAATAAGTGTAAATGAATAAATAAAATATCAATCATAAATTAAATCAATCATAAATTACAATTTCACTGGAAGTTGTCATTGTAAAATTCTTGCAACCTATAATAGGGTCTGCTCGCAAGAAGTTATTTTGTGTATTTTCTAAAGCTGTCAATACTATCGTAGCTATTTCTAAAATGAGACGGTAAGTGATTATACATTTTAACACCGTTATAGAAAATGGAGTCCTTTACTAGGGATGAAGAAGGCAATGGTAATTTAAAATTATTTCTAGATTTTAGGAGGGTGCTATGACACGAAGAAATATATTCAAATTTTGACCTATGTTTGTGTATAGGACACACAGTTTCCATTACAAAGAGAGCCACAACTGTCAATATATTTTTTTCCGCAAATAACTGCCTACATGAATTGCACGGTCCTAATTTGAACACATATCTAATGGCTCTCTTTTGAAATTTAAGTACTGAATCTAGCAGACTAGAGTTACATACCCCCCAGAAAGGAATGACATATCTCAGTTGAGATTCAATTAATGCATAATATGCATTCATAGCCGTGGCAGTACCAAGTTCCCTTGAAATAATTCTCATTGCATAGCACCCTGAGGAGATTTTATTCTTCAATTGGTCGAGATGTGCTTCAAACTTCAATTTACTGTCAATATATAGGCCCAAAAAGTTTGTGCAATCTTTATTTTCAATCTTCTCATTTTCTAGAGGCATATCTTCTCTAAAGTACATTTGAAAGTTATTATACTTGTTTTTTTTTATATTAAAAGAGAGAAGATTCGAGTCGCACCAAGACTTGATTACATTAGTATCTCTGATTTTCTTATTATTCAGATCTTCAACAGTTTTACTATGCCATAAAATGGTGGTGTCATCAGCAAATAAGGTAATTTTTCCAGAAGTGTTTATACACAGTAAATCATTGATATATACAAGAAAAAGAGTGGGTCCCAAAACCGATCCTTGTGGCACTCCATAATCTATATTAGTATATTTTGAAGTTATATCACTTTTTACAACTTGACTGCACCCAGTTAGGTAGGATTCGAACGAATCCAAAGTAACTCCCTCACAGCCGTAGCAATGTAGTTTCCCCAAAAGTATTTTGTGGTCTACACAGTCAAAACCCTTTTTTAGGTCACAAAATACTGCTGCAGCTACATCTCCGGCATTTATATCTGAATATACCTCATACAGGAAGGAATTCAATACCTCTATTGAAATTCATAATATCAAGACGGATTAAAAACCACGATAATTCATAAAAATATAACAGCTTGATTTTTTTAGTATATATTCAAAGTAAAAGAAAATCGTTGAAGTTGCTGAAACTGTAATTTCAATACATGAAAATGAATTTGTTTACATTGGAAATATAAAAAATTATAAGTCTTATAAAAATTAAGTAAATAGGTATGTTGAATGGTTTCAAATTTCCTTGGTTGGACTTAGTGTGAATAGTATGACTTACTTGTGCTGTTCTTTCTCTTAAAGTAAACAACAACAAGCCTTATGATCTGGTACCTTCATGTCTCATGTATACATTTCTGCAGAAAAACATATATAACATTTTTAATTCTACTAACTGATGAAAAAATCTGTCTATATTGGAAATTTGCCTATTGCTTAACACAGAACACATTATTAAGTTATATAATATTTTCACTACTATTGCAAATTTATAGTAATTATTGTCGAATATTTCAGACATGTTACAAACTATCGATTAAAATATGCCTTCTGACATGACTAAATTTTACTACGACGTTAGTGTTTTTATATGCTATTGGCCTAAATACTACCTATTAGTATTACCTAACTACACCGGTTAGTATTTCCTAACTACTACCTGTTATTGATTCTACGCTAAACTACCTGTTTTTAATACCTCTAATTTGTTATATACTTCCTCTATGTTAGTGTTTATCTCTTAATATTTATTTGTTTTTTATATAGGATCATTACGTATAAGTACAAACAAAGGGCTGTCAGAAATAGGACCTTTTTCCCTATTCATAGAACTCATTCCACACTTTTTGATTTCCAAGCTTTCGAAGGCATCCAGAAACCTGTTGTCATGTACCGGTTTCAACATTTCTCACTTATTCTATGGTCGTTCTTTATGGCATGTTGAGCGGAACTAGATTTTCCCGGTCTATAAATCCGAACATGCAAAACATGTTTCTTCTTGCGAGCTAATATAGTCTGTTTGGTTTGACCAACATATTTCTTATCACAATCCTCGCGAATTCTCAAATAATATTTTTCTGAAATCAATTACTCATTCAAAAACATTTGTAAATAAATTTCTTTTTTGTGATACTATACACCATCCTATCATATAAAACTGTAACGTCTTACGAAGAACGAGCGATAACAAGTCTCGATAATGCTATTTGAGACGATGACGAAACATCGACCTTTGAAGAATACAGAGCGGATGAACACCCGGAAAAGCAACTACCATCCGTGAAAACATATACTGTATATGAAGGTGAAAATAAATTTACATACAAATCAACAGGTCCAAAGGTTTTACTTTACTTCTACAGATATTCAATTAAACCACAGTGTTTTGTTAATTAATGTAGAAAAATTATACAATAATTGATCGCCATATTATATATTGTTAAAATAATATGTATCTAGAGTTACTCGTTGAAATACATGATGGAAAATACGAAAATTATATTTTCTATTCGTAAATAATTGAGACATTTAATAAATCGATGACATTTTTCTTATTGTCCTACATACAATAGACTATGTAATATTGTAGGCAGTTCTAGGAGTATTGAAAATATGCAGGCAGAAAAGGAACGTGGGGACAATATAAATATATAAATAAAATAAAATAACTATTTACATGTACAATCGACATATAAACACATTGAAAAAATATATAAACAAGATTTAGTTCAAAATTTCTTCAAAGCTAATGTATCAAATTTGCAGGATAATGCATCGTCAAATTAATTGGATGTGTTGAGTTCTCAGTAGAGTCCAGTGCTTGTCCATAGCTTTCGAAATAATACTGACTTGCATTGAGATATAGTTGATATTTCAAAAATTGAAATATTTTTTCCTTATATGGTATGAACCTTTTATGACAAGCAATTTGTGTCAAAAACAATCATTAAAAATGTTAGTATTCTATTGTTACAAATATTCAATAAAAAAATCTAACAATACGTTCTCAAGAGAAATGCTTAAACAAAATTATTGTATATTTGTTGTCACAGATTGTTGAAGGATTTTAGTGGTAGATCATTAGAGAATTAGTGATTTAAAGGAATTGACTATGATTTCGCCTTACATTTATTGTGATTGAAAGAAATTCATCAATCACTGTCAAATTTTGTTGGATGCTCAAATGTCGGTTATTTACATAGCTGAAAATTATTATTAAAGTAACTTGATTCGATCAAATTGAAATCACCAGACTGACATATATCCGTTTATGTATTCAAATACTAATTTTGCTATAAACCGTTTTCCCCTAATTTTTATAATTTGACCATTCTTGTGGTAATTGCATTTTCTCAATACCCGATTACAGTCTATCAGATTTACTTTCCTTATTCGCCTAGAAATTAGTTCTATATGGATAGATGTATTGTTATTGAACACATAATTGTTATTGAAATATTGATTATATTGATATGGTTGTGTTAAAATTATAGGATTTGTATTCTTCATTCCTCGGATGAAAATGTCTACCAGTAGTGGATGTAAAGTACTAGGCCATAAAATCAAAAAGTCGCGATCCGTGAAGGTCTCAGAGAAATTGAATGCTGTTTTTATCAACTCTGTGTCGGTAGCATCAGGTTTGACTATTGATTCCACCGAGATCTTATCTGATAAAAGGGAAAGGGATGCTCCTAAATTCTTTCCATGATGACATGCAACAATTAGAACTTTTGATTTTGTAGGTTTGAATTCTCCAGTTTTCTCTGTGGCCAGTCGTACATGACTGGTACTTTTATGATATTCCAATGTTTCTTGTTTTTCATCTACATTAGGTAGTTCGGTGAATAATTCTGCTAAATTTTTTTCATACTCTGCCATTTTCTTCATTTTATAGACATTTGAAATTATATCTATATTCTCCAGATTTACCATTTTTATCATATTACTGATTTCTGAAACAAGTTGATATAGAAGTCTCATTTCTGTTCTATATTGTTGTTCCAAATCACATTCACCAATGTTCAAGTTTGATCTTTGTACTGTTTCCTGGATTTCCTTGACTAATTCTATATATTTGAATATCACATCCATCTTTTATACTTTATAATCTCCTTGCTTTCTACAATAAATAATTTTCTAGCTGCTGAAAATGTTGCAGTCTTCAATCAAATGGTCTGCATAGAAAATACTTCAACAATTTCTGCACAAGCAACTCTCAAGTACCTTATTTTTGAACTGAATGATCCAGTCATATTTTATTATTTTTTATACTGTTGTTTGAAATATTTGAGGCCGTTTTTTATTCAGTGCAGACGCAAATAAAATTACAAAAACTTTGACCTCCTTTTTTCATCTTCTACTGCCAATAATAAAGTAAACTTTTTTTGAATGAGGTTCAAACTGAAATTAATCTATTTCTTAATTCAACTCCTTGAGACTGAAAACATTTCCAAAATTTTGTTCTTTGCTTTTATACAAGGTGTGAACACGATTGTCAAACTGACCTAGGATATTTATCTGGTGAATTCAGCAATATTATGTAATTATGAATATAGCTCCTGACTGGTAGTTACTTGAAAGTTTTTATCAAATTAAAAATATTCATGTATATAACTTCTTTAATATTGAATATTCTATTATAAAAGAACGGCTGTCCTCGGAATGCATATCGTTTTTCACTAAGATGATTAAATTTCTGTTTCCACCAGCGGCAGTACCTATCTAGGGAGGCAAATATCAGAAATATGGTGCTAGTCCAACAATTCATGTTTTTCCATTTTTGAATTGTTTATTCAATCCTTCTGGAACTGAAATCTATAGATTTTGTCATTCCAAATGATAAAGACACAGTTTTCCTGTGTTTCTGTTGTAGGAAATGATGAACAAAACTTTTTTTGATTTCAGTGATTGTTTTCATTTCAGTGCTCACTTCACATCTAAGAACATTTTAATAATATATTATCTTTGATCAATGTTTCTTCTCTACTTAGAGATAGTAAATTGCAACGATTATTCATGATGAGAAGTGTTGTTGAAAGATCGATTGATTTGCAAAAAAATATATATATTAAAGTATTGTAAAGTATTGATTGTCGTTGTCCCCGCAGTTTTACAGTAACCTTTTCCATAGTTATACCTTTATCAGTTCACTAATAATTTTGTTGTGAAATATTTTTTAAGACATATTGACTTCAAGGAGTTGAATACAATTGTTAATTAGTCATTGAAAAACTCCACCATAGATTATTGACAGCTTGAACGAAATAATAATATAATAATCATCAGAATACCAAAGCAAACCCAGGAGTCGATGGACTGTTGAAAACGAATAAGGTGTTAGGTTATATAAATAAGGGATCTAGTTTTTTTTCAATTTCCAATCAAAATATTTCATTTACAGAAAAAGTTTTGTCCACGAGACGGTCGTTTTCAAAAACTATATGAATTTTTCTCCTAAAAATCTGAATGTAACGTAATGAGTAATGACTATTGAGAATCAGTGTTGATAGACTAATGAAAGAAAAAAATTGTTTTTATTATTGACAACTATTTATGATGTATATATTTATGTGTATATACTTTATATTTGATTTATAAAAAAACGAAACTGGAAGCACTCTAAGAAAAAATGAAGCCTCCATGATACACACATAATTCAGGTTCCTGATGTTGTAACTTGATATTCACATAATAATATTTCAGTTTCATTTCACGGAAGATCAGTTTGAAAATATGGAGGTGCACAAAGAAAAATCCTAAAATCTTCAGCTGTGCCTACTGTGTTTCCCAAAGAGAAAACGACTCTTTTAGAAAGTTCTTTGAATAGTAAGTTTTCGTTTCTTTTGTTAATGTGGATGTTAATTTTGATCATTTCAGACGATATTTCTGCAATGGAAATTGAATCCGATGTAATACTTTCAGCGAAAGAAGATGATGGAGAGGTTAAAAAAAGTAATTCTGTGACATGCAGAACGTGCCTTTTGAATAAAAATAAAGAAAAATGTTCTGTAATGAAAGAGTTCCTTCACGGTGAAACAATAAGACAAATGGTGATCAGATGTGTTCCCGAAATGGTATAAAATTAATTATTTTCTCTTCATAACTATAAAATTTACTGTATTTCCAGTCTGATACTATCACAGATGATAATCACATTTGTGATAAATGCTTGAAATGTCTCTTAAAATGTTATAAATTCATTATGGCTTGTCTTGACGTTGAATCAAAAATACGAGAGGGAAAAGTTACTCTTAAAACTGAAAAACCCAATGAAACTGATGAAGATTCCAAAAAAGGCATGAATGGCAAAAAACCAGAAATTGTTACAAAAAGAAAAGGGAATTCTCCACAATTCAAAATGGATGACTCAAATAAAGAAAAAACTAAAGCAAAAGGTAATTATAAAATATAGAATAATAGAGGAAGTTATGGGGAATATAATTGAGGCATTAGAAACTTTGTAATTTTGAATATACTTAGCATTTATCATTCAGACATGTTTGAGAAAAATACTTTTGAACTGTAAACAATGTATCATCCATTAAACATTACAAAAATGTAGGACTCACAGGGGAATACACATTTATCAGTTTTTGATATAGTTAACAAAAATTAAATTGAATATTTTCTCATTGAACTATTCAGGAAAAATATTGCATTCAAAAACATATACTTGTATAGTTATAGACTGTTTTGATAAATAGAACCAAAATCTGAATGTGTCGGGTTTGTGATCCATTGAAGTTCAAATAATTCAATCTGTCATAGATATCATCAGTGGTGCTCGGATGGTCCACGATTGCTATGTTTGAATTTAGCTTTCCCTTACTTAAGAAATAGAAAGTGAGCAAGATGACTGCTATCATGAACATCCCATTTATGAGACTGGTAGAAAACTCTTACCTCTGTACATCCAAAGTGAACGAGGACAGTGGAAGTCAAATATTGACTTTGCAGCATATTGGCGTCAAAACCAGCGTTCATCTTCGATGTACGGCATTGTGAGGATTCTATTGATTCCATAGATGGTGTCTTCATAAGAGGAGTCATCTTCACTTCTCACATACTAGGTTAATAGTGTTGAGTTCATCTTCAGATTCTCAAAAAAATAGCATCAACCAAAATGACGTAGATGTCAGAAGTAAAAGGAGAAGAAAAACAAAAATGATCGAGGATTCTGCTGCAGAGGAAGATATTGAAGCATATTTGGCAGAGGAACAGAATAACTCTTCAAGTGAAGTTGAAAAATCAGTGAGAACTGTTACCAAAAGACAATCTAAAGCAGGTGAGCATATTTTCACTCTTAATTCCTTTCCCAAATACAAAGATTGTTCATAAACTAGTTATTCATTTTTTAACGTCAGTCCTTGAAAGCAGACACTATTCTCTACAAAAGATATTAATAACTTTTTTGAAAACCTTTCTCGTTTGCAAGAAATCGATTCTTGACAAACAAAAATAAATATCACCCTTGTTCTTTCACCAAACCACTCAAACTATGTCGATAAAAACTATGTAGTTCCAAATATTTTGAGTTGCCTAATGTGAATGTACTAAATGCTTTTCAAACATAAAAAACAAAGCAAATCAAACAAATCGTACATGGTCAAAATAAATTCCTATTTTCAATGTTTTCAAGTTTGAATTAATTTCATATTGAAATGACGATCTGAGTAATATTTTTTAGATATAACTTAAAACGTGAAAACAGATGTTTTGTATCAAAATGTCCTTTCAAAACATAGAATAATTATATTGAACTAGAAACAAACATCTTCAAAAAGCAGCTACCTAAAACAGAATCAGGTCTTTTTCCAAGCTGCCAATTTGGGCCTCATTAGAGTTTCAAAATTCTACATTTTTATAATTATTATTGACAAACAAATAATGTTTACTATTCTTTTGCAACTTGGAGACCGTTTGGCTTGCCCATTTTTTTAAGTCTCTGGAAAATACTGCATCCTCCTGGGCTTATTGCTTTTTACATTCAATCTTCTCATGACATCCATTTCAATGAAACTACTTCCTGCACTAGTTTGTACAGGTACTTTGGTTAATATTTGTCATATTCTGTTGTTGAATTGGCCGCGGCGGTAGTGCGCCCGACTCACGATCGGAAGACCGTAGGTTCGATTCCCGCCTCGACCAGATATTTTTCTCGAGAGAATTTATCTGGTTGAAGCTGGGATGATTCTGCAACCGTGTTAGGAATCCCACGTTAAAAGGTAAGACCTCGTTAGTCCTTAGTTCGCACAAGTTCTCAACTTTTGAGAGTTGTCGTTCGTATGGGGGCGACAGCTGATTAACGAAAAAACAGATTTTTTTCAAAACAGATACTGAATATAATTTGGATTTTTCATTATTTGCTTGCCTCCTGTGATTTCAGCGCCTCACACTCGCATGAAATATAAAGAGCCACTCTCTCCTTTCGTTGTATTGTCAGCAGCTGAAGTATATGTTACACAGTCAGCCCTATTTTGTTCTTAATTTTCTAAATGGCCAGTGTCCAGTGAGTAACCTTGTAATTATCTTGAGCTGATCTCTGTGACGTTGAAGCATTTCTTCTTTTTTTTAGACAGTCCACTTCATAAGATTTTCCACTTTGTTTTTCAGATACTCTTTACGCTTCTTATTGAACCTGGTCCAGGTTAGTATGGAATTTAGTATCACACTCAGATATTTAAATTTATCGGACAGTTTATATCTCTTCACCTCGAAGTTGTAGAGATCCTAGTCCCTCTAATTGGTTCTCTTGTTGAACGCTACTAGACTTGATTTGGATGGGCTTACGTCAAATTCTTCTTCAACTATAATATTTCATTTTCTCTGGACTATGATAACTAAGTGATCTATATAGGTCAGTATTTTTTATATCATTTTGGTCCAGAACACGAAGTAAGTCGTCTTTCACAATGAGGACAAAACAATTTTCTCAAAGCATGCAGGTTATCCACCTGCAGATGGTGATGTTGATCCCGTTCTTCGACTCCTGTATGATTAATTCTAAGGACGTATCATCAAATGTGCTCATAATATCCAAAAAAGCAGTAAAATTACTTTGTGGTTATTAAAAGCATATTCTGCTGTTTCTGTAACCTGGCATAAAGCCGTTTCCATTAACATACAGACCTGTACGCATATTGATCTCGATGCAGTGGACTGTTGGCCAATGATATGTCCCTAATATGTCTGTCAGCTAGTTTTTCTATTGTTTTTAGTGCAAATGTCATGGTGCAAACTAGGTGGCCTACAAACGGTATAAAGCGTTCGAGGAGGATATAGAGAGTAACTTTTTTCACTAAGGTTGCAAAGAATTATGAATTACTGCTAGGATTGTAGCTACATAAATTTTTTAGTTGCAAGCATATTTTCAATTTGTTATGATGAGTTGGCGTTATGATGAATATATCTTGGAAGATAGTATATAATGAACCAGAACTGAAGCCAAAAGGCAAAGAAAATGAACACAATTTTCATATCTGAAATAAAAGTAAACTTCTAGTATTTTACTCTATACTGACAATGTGCAAATCGCAGATGTATCCATCTGCAACTTCTTGCTTCTTTACCAGTCATGTTAGGAGCGTTGTTAGGAGGTCGAAAAGATGACCTAGATTTCTTGTTTGAAAAGTTACAGGAATGGTGAGAAAAGAGTTTTGGAGCTGAAAAAGCTTACTTCAATAAAGATGGAGTATTATTATCTTTCAATAATAATATTTACTTCTTGTATTGAAAAGTATACAAAATTAGAATATTACAGTAACAAGGAAAACGCCACTTGGGGTAAAATATAGATATGACAACAGGATCTGGTAGTCAGAACAAATGAAAATAAATCATGAAACTTACACTATTCTTGAAACTCATCACCTCCTCAAGATCAGAATATTTTATGAATCTGACTGTACAACATTCTTGAGCATCAGAAGCAGAATCTGCATTAGGAGAGAAAAGAAACTCTTTCTAAGCAGGCCAATAAATGCTTATGCTCAAACTAGTTTTATACAACAATGGAACTCTCGCGATAACTCTTTAAACCGTTAGGATGATAGTGGCATGTATATTCATTTTAGTTGGAAGCACATTTTCAATTTTGATGAAGAGTTGACTGTGCGAAGCTTGTCTTTGTAGATGATAGTTTAGACTTATCATGATTCCATTTGTTACAATTTTTGTACTTCCACTGACCCAAAGCTTGAAACTGATTTCACTGACAAGAATCTAATTTTTTTCAGAAAAAACAAACAATAACGGAATTGAGCGAAAAATGTCTAAACTAAAAAAGAAGTTCAAACAAACAGAAAAAGGTATGTATATTAAATAGATGAATATTTTTAAAGTAAGGATCTTTTGATATCTGATCGGTTTTATTATTATTATGAGAGATTTGGAGAATCACAAAAAAGCTAGTTATGAAAAATAAGTGAATTGAATCAAGTACATTAGTATGGACCTATATTTCAATCAAAGCATGACACAAAGACAGGTTTGAGATTTGTACATAGAAACTCTCCAACAATATTGGAACATAGCAACCAGCAAAATACAAATAAGGAAGGTGTTATGAAAAAATAATACTTTTAGTCTCAGGTTTCCAAGGAAAAACTTTGTTGAAATATTAGGCAAATAGGCAGAACACTAGTGTACGTTGTAGCACCTTCAATATTGATACTATTTTAGTGGACTGTATAACTGAATAAATGCTATAAGCAATAACTAAAGCTGTGAGATGATGAATACTTCGAAATATTTAACAAGCATAAATTCACAATATGTATTCTCTCTAAAGAAATTTTTGATCTCTCTCTCTTGTCACTATCATAGTCGTTTTCAAAGTTGGCATGACGTCGCCAGTTAAACTAAAATGAGAACAACTGACTTCCATGCTAATGTATTTGAAAAACAGAAAACAAATTTTCTCTGTATCGAAGCCACATGTTGTTTTTGGTGAGATTTACCTGCTAATGGTCAATAAATGAATGTGACATATTACTATAGCCAAACAAAACATTAACTCTCTAAATGAATGATCAATCCCTGCTGAAAATTTAGAAGTCCTACTCGGTGATTCCATTCCATATTACAGTACTATAATACCTTTGTAAAACATTTATTTGACAAGGCCTCAAGGCAGATTTCCACCAAATGGATAAAACAGCAACTGTGTCCACAAAACAAAAACTTGAGTTGTCAAAGTAAGAAACATTTTAAAGACTTTATGTCGCAGGCGACTGTTTTTGTCATCAAAGAAATGTCTCATTGGCAGGCGGAAAGATCAAAACGTTTCGGTGTTTTGTCTGTTTTTCTAAACAGTGTATGTGGTCGGCGACATCAAGAAGCAACTATTCAGTTTACTTTTTGTTTTAATGTGACTTCATGTGACATTATTACTTTATTTGAAGTGTTAATCTGAGATATAAATTTCGTTGATGCCAGTTTTCCATTCATTTGTCATTTATTAAATCTGCTAGAATTTTATCCGTTCCACTAGTTAGATAGTGTTTGTCAGTTTGGTAGAATTCGAGATTGTTTTCGAAACTTAAACTGTTTTTTTTCTGTTTTTGTTACGAAACTAGTGTCGGATTACCTTATTAATAATTCATTTAAAAGATAGTGCACCCATTAATGCTAGATAGGGCATATTGCAGAGTGGAATTCTATTTTGCTTAGATTGAAATGGGTATATTTTTAGATAATATACGTAGGTTTGTTTATTAATTTCATTTAGTTATATAACACTTAGTACAAGAAGAAACAGATTCGAATTTGTAGTTAGAGGTAATTTAAACATAAATCAACATACAATGTCTCCCGAATAAAGTTAAGAATCTTAATATTGCTCTAGATGATTTCAAATTTTATATTGTTTGTTTGTCAGAGCATTGGTTGACCGTTGAGAATTTGTTAACTGTGAATATTTATATTCACAGAGGTCTCACACATGTTATAAAAATAATTTATAATTCAATATAAATGAGTTCAGTGTTTATTTGACTCTCGTCTCGATTAGATCATCATTTACTTTTAAAAAAATCTAATTTCGGGAGACATTACAAAATTAACTACTAGGACACTCATAAATTGCTAAGGCGTGAGTAACCTAAAAACGATCAGGGTTCTATTGTGAAAATCTGAAGATTCAAAATTCTTTTAATACATGAAAAAAAAATGAAAAAGGAAGGGTTGGTGCAGAGAGAGTATGCATATTATGAATATAGATATCTGATTCTTCTAATGTTTGAAGCATGCTGGAATATTATTTGATAGGAATCAATGGAAATTTACAGCACAAGCATGACATTGATGAATCATCTAAACTCGATGAAAAGACTTGAATTTCTCCCAGATTTGAATTCAAACCACGAAAATTTCAACAACGAATCTAAATCAAATTCGGTGTTGATCAAATCCATTCTGTTGCAAAAATATACTAACTATAATCAGTAAAATCAAAGATAAAATCGTCATATTGAAAATCTAAATTGAATTGTTGATAAAAAACAATTATGAAATAAAACAATCTAGTATGGAACAAAAACCAGATAATGTAGACGACCAAAAACTTTCTTTTCATAATAATATGCAATGTACACTGTATCACATATCACAAATGAAACAAATCAGCTTCAGTTACATCTTGAAGATAAAGGCTACTACATCATTTTTGCTCTAAGTATAATTTTGTAATTTTATTCAAAGAAAAAATCCATAACTTGATAAATTATAGGCCCTGAAAAAGCTTTCCATTAGAAGTGAAAGCTTGGCAAAGTAAAGCAGAGTTTTCATTTTTGACTGAGGACCCTGATAATCATTTCTCCAGTATATTACACACAGTTATTAAGAAATTGAAGAAAAGGCAGAAAACTGGTTCACTTTAAAGGGCTGAAATTATATAGGGATGAAACTCAAAAAACATTAGTCTTCTCTAATTAATGAGCACATTGCATAAAATCATATTAAATTACTGGGCTTCACAATTGATGACTCATTCAAATGGAAATTTCACATTAGCCATCTGTGCGAAAAGTTATCAACTTAACTCCTCTACCTTTTTTATGGGAAAAATATAATGCTCAAAGTGTCTTTTTTGTGTAAAAAAGCTCTTAGCTTCTGAAGCTTTGGAACTTCATTTAATGGACCATGCAAACCACTCTTCATTTCATATAAAGTTCGACCTTTGCCTTGCATTTTTATTCTAACCAGTTTGCTAGAGAAACATAGGCGTGGGATTAGGTTTGAAATGCAATATGAAACTCACTAGATTTTGAGCTTTTTGTTCACTTATTATTTGATATAAGACATTCCATTACACCCATATTCAAAAGGAGAGTTAAAAACCTTTAAATAATGTTTTATTTAGTTTAGGATTTTATGAACATCTTATTGAATAGAATTCCAAAGAAAATATTTGTTGTTTATTAAAACTTGTTTTTTCTTTTTCTCCTGGCATAAATATTGTTTTCATAAAATTTTAAATATCTGGACATTCATTAAATAATACATTCTATCATTTCATGCATTTTTATCAACCTTGAACAATTATGCTTTTTTTATTTTCTGTAAAAAAATTATAATTTAATTGCAATCGTATCCACATACTCCACCTTGTGTGACATTCATAATAAATATCGATCATTTGATGCTTTTTCTTTAATAAATTTGAGAGTAGTAAAAAGTAGTTTTCAAAATTCGATATCTCAAAAACGGTTGAATTAAGGAAATGATGTGCTATATCAATTTTGTTCATAATTTTGAATAGAATTGAAATATGGAACAATATATAGGGTGTTCTATTGAAGAAAAGCAACTTTATTTGTTCAAGACTTACTGATCCTGTATACTTCATTTTTATTTAGCCTAGCTATCTTACGTTAAGAGATAATCGACCGTTTCCATACATATCAGCGACCCTGTATATGTGCACATATTTAGTTAATTGTGTTTTATGTGTAACGTGTTTCAAGTAGACTATATTATCGATATGTTTTGTGACCTGATATAAATGTAACTGTACATAATATGGTGAAATAAAACTACTTAAAAATAAATTGATGGATGTAGCCGTTACAACGTGGTAGGAGGTCATCATGAAAAATGATAAATGAAACTTCACAAGTGGCGAAAAAAATAGGAAGTGTTATTTCTCATTATTCATCAAACTGCCTACTTCTATGTGTTACATGTTCTATTCATATATAATTTTAATGGTTCAACCATTCATTATTGTGTTTCGTCCATAAGTTTTTTGACTTCATGGGAATAAAGTTTTGATTGATTGAATTATTTGTTAGAAAAATCCCCAGAAATGAAAATAATTGATAAGACTCTGGGAGTGGTTGCAAAAACTTACCAAAGAAAGAGAATATCGGTGAATAAAGAAGAAATTGAAGGGGTTCAGGCTTTGGCACAATCAAGGAGTATTGAACGAATTGGAGGTAGGACTATTTCGTAGTATTTTTTGTTGCCAATACTTTATTGAATTCAAAATATTGTGAGAAAATGTGAATAAATATTAATTTCTACTTGAGTAAAATAATTTTGTATTTGAAATTTCAATATTTTTTTCAATTTATAGGAGACATTGAAACACCTCCAAAAATAAATTTGAGAACCTATGAAAGGAAACGAAAATTGTCAGCTGTTGAAAACCAATTATTCAAAGGGGAAAATGAAATATTTGAAAAAGTGATAATGGAATTTGATATGAGTTCCGAAAATATACCACAGGCAGATTTGAATATATGTGAAAATATTATGAACGAAAGTAATGATTGTGAAAATGAAATCAATGTCGATCATGATTACATTGTAAGAACTGAATCTGAAAAATTTTCGGTATCAGTGGTTGGACAAGAAGTATCTGGAACTCAAGAAAGTGAAGATTGGCAAGAGCAGACATGTAGAAATGAAGACACAATGGAGTTGAAGTGCCCATCTTGTCAAACTCATTATAAAACAAGTAGAGGATTACGTGATCATTTGAAAACTTTCCATAATATCAATGAAGAAGATTATATATATCATTGCCAAGTCTGTGAGGAAGAATTCAAAAATTCTGAGGATATGTTAGAGCACAGAAACTCTCACGGCTGGTGCTGCAGTTTATGTGCAGAAATGTAAGTACCCATCAGATGTTCATAATTCCTAGGATCCTTGCTTGAAAACTCGCATTTAACATAAGACTTCAACCCTTAGAGCTTGCACGAGGTTTTCATTTGTATGGAACTGACAGTTGGCCGATGAGAAAAACAATTTTTCTTGACAGATAAACGTCATCAGATAATATATTTCCGAATGTTTGGAAACTAGTGTCTGATAGTGTGGTGCAACCCCTAACTGACCTAATAAATATGTTTATTGAAACAGGTGAATTGTCAAATGTGCTGAAATTGAGTAAAGTGATCGCCATACATAAAAGTGGTAATAGATCAGATATGGATAATTATAGACCAATTAGTCTTCTCAGTATATTTTCAAAAATTTTATAAAGACTTATGTACAACAGACTTACGAAATTTTTGATAAGTCATATCATTTTATCTGATTCTCAACATGGATTTTGCATCAACAGGTTGAATCTGCTATTACTCGTTTTTGTTTATTTCATATCTAGGAATATGAATAATAGGAAGCACATGGCAGAAATTTTATTGGACCTGTCAAAAGCTTTTGACTGTATAAAGTGTTTTTGGCTCCCATATATAATGTATATTTACATGTTTATTCCTTTACCTATTTATTATTATTCTTAGTCTTTCAAATCTGCATACACACTTCAAATTGTATACTAACTTTTTTTTATTGTGTCCACTTTTGATAATCATTATATTAAGAATGACATTGACATGTTCGATCTGTGGTATACTAAGGTCATGCCTATTGAGTGCTACCCTGATATGATAATCAAGACTTTCTTTCTATTTGCTACCATATTGATATTTTTTTATTCTGAAGTTTATTGATCAATAACAGACAAGAGAATATATTTTTCTCTACAACCATTGGATTTAAAAATATTTTTTTAATCGACTTTCGTTTATTCTTCACGTTTTCATATTTTTAAGCGCTTGAATGTATCAAACGTATTTTTGATTAAACAGTACTTTGATAGGGTTCTACAGATCTATTTGAATTTGAATAATATGTTTTTAGATTTTCTTCTGACCAAGAATTGAATTCACACAACAAGAATCATCCACAGAGTTATACCTGCAATCAGTGTAGTGATACATTTCCTTCAAAATCTATAATGAAACAGCATCAATCGATGCACAAAATAATAAGTGATTTAAAACAGCGGAAAAAAAAGTCACCTCAAAAAAGATATCATTGTGATTCTTGTTCAATGGTTTTTCGATATCCTACAAGGCTAAGGGTGCACAGAAATATAGTTCACCTAAAGCTGAAGAATTATAAGTGCCATGACTGTGGAAAAAAATTTGGTACAAAAAATACATTGCTGCTACATCACAGGTAAGAGTACAAAAATTAACTTATTAATCAATACAATTCATTAAAATATGTAAATCTATTATGGTAAAGTACTTCACTTACTGTGCCGCAATATTCAATTTGGAGAAAATGTCTCCTACTTTACCATTTCGAGAGGGAATTGTCACTTGTGTTTTATCGTTGAAAAGAAAATTTCATATTCTATGAAATGGTCTTGAAAAAATACAGGGTCTAACTGATATTTTTCGATATTTTTGGTTACACCGAAATAGGTTTCAAATTGATTTTTCATTAGGAATATCGACAAGAATAAAAAATTTCATATTCTATGAAATGGTCTTGAAAAAATACAGGGTCTAACTGATATTTTTCGATATTTTTGGTGACACCGAAATAGGTTTCAAATTGATTTTTCATTAGGAATATCGACAAGAATATTAAATTTCTCACTCCAGAAATAACTGAATGCTGCCGTGTAGAATTATTTCGTTATAACCTGGTATGTTCCAGCAAGTTTTCATTGTTGCAGGAAAAAAAAACAAATTGTGCATTTTTACAATATATGGTCTCAAGCAATCGGCACTTTCATGGAACAAGATGTGAAATTGAAAAAATCTTTGCTTGAAAGCTATCTTCATTTCAAAATTATTAACAAACAAGTTACAATTTTAGCTTTATATATCGAGACTGTTTATTTTTTAGAATAATGAAATGTCCAGGTGTCATTTACGATAGTCTAAATGAATACTGGCTGTTTATCTGAATTTAGTTTAGGTACATATTTCCATTATAAACCCAAAAAACAATAAGAAACATTGACTCCTCCACCAAAAATGTCATTAAAAGAATAATTTTCAATAGATTTTTAAAATACAGACGTGGGTCTAACCAGCCTTGGAATGAACATAAAAAGAAAAAATTGACAAATTGTTCGTACTCAAAAGGAATACAACTTATTCTGCAAATTTTTAATGCAAGCTGGCAACCCAGGTGTTACTCCAATGGATGTAATTATGAAATTCAATAATGACTTTCAAGTTTATGAAACCGAAGTTCATCAGCAGATAAATGGCTGCTTAATGTATTTGAGTGTTATGATACAACCTGATATTTACTTTTCATGCTCCCACCTAAGCATTCTGCAGAGCATTGGCAAGCTGGAAAACGTGTACTGAGATATCTTGAAGAAAGAACTCGAGACAATCAAGGAGAGGTTGATGTGAAATATCTTTACATCTGAGATAACATATATTGTGTTGGGGCTTGGGTTTATATAAAGTTGCTCATCTATTGCATTACTGGAGAGTGTTAAATTTTATATATTTTTTTGTCTGATTGATTGACAAATTGTTGTAACTCAAAATGAATTAAATTATTGACGTTTTATTTTTCTCTTGTGGAAATATACTTTACATTTCATAATCTCTAACAAGTTGAATTTTTTGAGCATTTTCTTATACATATTCACATGATTATTTTATTGAGAATAGGTCAAATTTTCCAAAATCCATCTGGAACATATTTTTTTGCAGACAGGTAAAGGTTCTTTCTTCAGTCATCTTGCTCACAGCATCGATGCTTCAGGAATCTCAACTGTTTTTGATCGCTCTTAACGAGATTCGTCACTAAAGAACAACATTCTGTGAACCAATCAAAGATGGTTGAACAACGTGATTCTATACATTCATGTCGAATTACGCCTTCACGTGTGATTCCCATTTTGTCACACCCTTTCCTTTTTTAAACACTCACTGTCAACTTGGATAATAAAAAGAGAATTTTACGAATATTGTGATGCCACATTCCAGTAGTGCTACCTATTGAAAAACATAAACGGAAACCTTCTTACACAAGTTGCTTTTTACTAAAGAAACTGATTTGTGTTAAGTAGATATTGGTTTTGATGAAACTTCATATGATGGAAAGTAACTGTCCTTGATTGACAAGCCTGAGTATGTAAGGGCAATAACATCTCTTCTTAAGAAAGATGTCATCTATGGGATCGACAGAGAACTCATTCTTCCCCAAGGCGGTCAGTTGCAAAGGCAGGCTTTGACATCGATCGTCGACGAGATTCACTATCTGTCTTTCACTGCAAGGTAACTAGTAGTTGAAAACCACAGCCCAAACACAACACACCTATGATTCAACACCAAAAAGCGCTGTTTCACCATGGGTCTTATCAGTGGTGCTAGACTGAACCACAAATACATTGCTGGACTCACCTGTCCTTAAAGGACAAGTCTCAGTAACTAAGTCTCGACCGCCGATGAGATTCGTCCAATATCTTTCACTGCAAGGCAACTAGTTGAAAACCAGTGTTGAAAATGTGTTCGACATTTATGATCCAACCCACAAATACATTATTGGACTCAACAAAGGATAAGCCTGAGTAAGTATTGGCATTTGGTATTGGGCATTTGATAAAACAAATAAACAGCACCAATAAGGACATATCTCCACTCGTCTAGATCTAGTAGTAAAACATCTACAGTGCAAAAGTTTACAACAATTGAAACGCTCAGCAAAGAGTTGGTACAATGGGTTGGCGTAACCGATTCCTTACTTTGGAGTTGACTGCTCGAATCCCCAATTGAATCTTTCCTACAAGAATCCATCTGAAATATTGCAATTTACCTCTGCTAAATTGGAGTTTTGTTATATATATTATTCTCTAGTAAAATGAAAAAAAATGTGTTTGGAGGAAGTGTCTGGAGTTATGCGAAGAGACGTACAACTCCAGATACTTCCTTCATAAAAATTATTATTTCTATTATACGAAAATACTTTCAGTGCACTGACGACTCAACTCATCGTACAAAATATTCAGAATATAGATTTTGTAAATAGGAGGACGAACTACATGCACATATTTTCAGATTGGTAGTTTATGAAATGGAAGAGTAGGGGCTTCTCAAATTCGGATCTTTCAACATTTTAAACTGCTTGAAAGGGATAATACTGGAAAAACCATTATATTTAACCTTTGTATGAGAAGACGAGATGAATTTTTAAACTAATTACACAATATACTCCAGTAGACATTTTAAGAAGTGGTGTAATGGTGTGTTGAGATATTCCACACTACTTTAATGTTATTGTAATATGTCAGAGTAAACAAAAAAATATGTTTAAACCGTTCATTTTGCAGGTGGGATAAAAGGCTTTTTTCATATTTCACTTCAACATATATTCTAGAATGAGATTTACATATAATACGAACATTTTTTTAGGGTAAAACACCAAGATCAAAATCCATTCCACTGTGATGTTTGTGGAGATTCCTTCAAGAGAAAAGACTACTTAAAAAAGCACTCTTCGGTTCACCACTATGAACAACAGCAGTTTATTTTAAGTACACTTGATGAAACAAGTCGAGGTAATACATTTTGAAATTTGTTTAAAAATGATCTGACATAATTTCCATAATTTCCTGCCATCTCAGATTGCCATGAGACCAATAGATATTACAGACATTATTCAAACTTTGAAAATATTTCAAGCAACAAAGATCATAGTCATTGATTCATAAAAGTGAAATGTAGATAAAGGTCCAATTCGCTCTTCTCCACTCACATCTGATTCATGTCAACTTTGCTTTCTTTGAATTAATATAAAACACGATTTGATTAGAATAGTTCTACAGCCGGTATCTTGGAAACATGAACGTTCTTTAGGGAATTAGGGAATGCCCTATATGTATTCCAATACCCCTCCTTTACTCTATGATCTATTAACTTTTTCATTTATAATCTTCATTATATCCGGATGGGTGAAAATTTTGGATTTTATTCAAAAATCAATAACACATAGCTACTTTGAATACCATTAACATTAATTTGTATTCATTCTCATTCTGAAGATGCTTATTTGTTTGGCGAAATAAGGGTTGAGTGCAAGTATTTCCAGTTTGGTATTTGAGTAATAAGCTACACTTGAAATATTATGCAAAAATTTAATGATTTTGAAAAGCAGTTTATACTTCATCATGATTCATTATTGAAGAGATATCTGATAGTAAACTCATTGAGAAAACAAAAGTTCTGATAGAACTTAAAATCTAAATTTGTTAGAGTAAAATTCATTTTGAATATTCACTTGTTTAGTTGACGCTTGTGCTTTCAGTTATTTTTGTTAGTTTGAATGAAGTTTTCATTTAGTATCTATCACTCACCTGAATTGTTGAATAATAAAATTCATTCATTATCCTACATAGATCATTAAAGTTTTCTTCGTTCAGTCCATTACTATTTACTCTTTATACCTGTATCAAAGTGATGCATTCACACGATTATTTATTGTTGGATGTGTGGACGTCCACATTGGAGTAGAGAATCACTAAAATTCACACTATTTTGACCTACTTTAATGGATTTGGTTTCTGAGGTCACACATGATATACATATACAGAAGTTTTTGTTCACGCAGGCTTTCAGAATAATCAAATTCCATTCAGAACTGAATTGATTTTGAAGCATATTTTATCTTTTACTCTGAATCATTCGTGGAATTTTCGTTCTCAAAGATATATACACGTGAATCCTTTGGGTGCATTTAACCTTCTTCAACTTAAAAAATAAAAAGATCAGTTGAAAAACGTTTTCTTGTTGTTTTTAGGGCATTTAACCTTTCACAACATAAAAAATAAACAAAGCTGTAAAAAGTCTGTTTTTGTTTACCATTTGTCTTACCCCTACGAACTTGTGCGAAATATAAGGATTAACGAGGTCTTACCTTTGGTATTCCATACAATGAGAATCGATCGTTCATCTGTAGGGCTCGATCCACCATTCCACATAGCGGTTGATTGACTGAATAGAAATAATCACTCACGCTAACCCAACCGGCTGCCTTTTCGTCAATCTTTAGAATCGGCTAGATCAGTAGTGAATCTGCTAAAGGGTTATGAAAGGTAAACTAAACAGTTCACCACAAAAAATTACTGGTGACATATAAACCACTGAAGTTGTTATTAGTCAGTAACATATTGTATTCAGAAATTTTTACAAATTGAATAATCTATAAATAACATGAAATTTCTATACTTTATCTGTCTGTCTGTCTGTCTGTCTGTTTAAAATATGTTTTTTCGTTAATCAGCTGTCGCCCCCATGCGAACGACAACTCTCAGAAGTTTTGAAACTTGTGCGAGCTAAGGACTAACGAGGTCTTACCTTTTAACGTGTGATTCCTAACACTTTATATAATACAATTGTGGCAATGTTTTTTGCTTGATGCGCCTGAATGGAAGCAAAAACATTGAGGGAAAGATTTTTTATTTCATTTATCAATGATCTCAAGTATTCAGGTTTTTTTGTTGAAAGATATGTCTAGCATTATCAACATCTGCTTTTTTGTTGATATTACTTTTTTCATTTCGGCTATTTCAAAAGAAATTTATATTATTAAAAAGAAGTGAATTATTTATAACATATATATTGATAATCTCGGTAAAAAGTATTCATATCTTTCAACGAAAAATTTGAACTTTTTAGTTTTTCCTTAATTAAACTTAAGCAGATTCTCTATATTTGCGTTGACGTAACGGTAGCCAATTTCGTTGGCGTGAGTGGTGCGTTCTACTCAGTAAATCGACTGCTATGTGGAACGGTGCCGGTGGTTTGATCCTCAAGGCCGAACGATCGATTTCCACTATGTATCATCCAAAGTGTGCGGGAATATAAAAAGTATGACCTCGTTAATCTGTATAACTCGTACAAGTTTCGACTTCTGAGGGTTGTCGTTCGTAGGGTAACAACAGTTGGTTAACTGAAAAACAATTTTTCAATGGCTTTGTTAATTTTTTACGTTGTAGAAAGTTGAATACCCCAAAAACAGCAGTAAAATATTTCATCTTCATGTTATTTTATGTATGTTCTTCATTCATCATTCGATCCCAAAAGATTTACGGGATGTATGTTTGAGAAAGAAAATTTCAAGAATGTATAAGACAAAAATAGAAATTGTCTTATTCTGAAATCTGCGTGAACAACAATTTCCAAATGCTTTACATGTGATCTCTGAAATAAAATTTATGGGAGTCTGATTGCCCACTGTAATGTGGACGTCATCGGGTCTTACAATATATGGTTATGTGATCACATAACTTTGAAACACATACATAGAGCCAATAATAAGGAACTGAATGAAGAAAATTTCATTCACTGATCTATGTAGGATAACCTCCATAACAAATCTATTTTATCATTCAACAATTCAAGCAATGATACTACATGAAAACTTTACTTGATTTAACAGAAAGTTCCACTATGTCTCGCATAAAATTAAATTGCATTAACCTTTCTAGAATTCATATCATTCCTAGAAACATGTGGATTCGTTTTCCGATGGCATTTCAGGTTAGCCTCCCAAATTTCTGCTACCGCAGTTGTCGGTTGATTGGTCAAACCACCAACACTGACATAAAAACTTGGCAAGTTGACTTGGGTGTCACACCTATAGGTGAATCCACTTATAATGAAGAAAAGAGAAATGAAATTTTCTATGTTTTCACCACTTTTATTTGTAACTAACGTTGCTGCAGTTTCGTCACATAAGAAAATGTCCTTATCAGACGAAACTGCAGTAACATTAGTTACAAATACACATATTAATGTTAATAATTGTCTTATGAGAAAAATAATTTCAGCCAACATGCCTCTCCAGTTATATGGAATCCCAAGGAAACATAAAACAGGATCTAAAAAACCCCTAAACACCTACACCAAAGTTAGAAAGTATACATGCGGAGTTTGTGGGTTGAAATTCTTTCATCAGCGGACTAAATTTATTCATGAACGTTCCCATAATGTTGACCTTGATAAAAAGTTTATGTAAGTTGAATTTAAGGTATTACACCTACAGGGATTCTAAAATACTCTCATTTGTTTAGATGCGTCTATTGCTGGAAAAGGTTCGGTACTAAAGAAGGATTAGATGAACATAATAAACGACATTTAAAAATTTCCAAAAATTATAAATGTAAGCTCTGCTCAATGATATTCAATCGGAACATTCTATTACAAAACCACATTCTTGAAGTTCACACCTCTGAAGATATTCGGAAGCGAGAATCAAACATCCCTGTTTCAGTTGATATATGAAAAAATGTGCTGATGGAACCCAATCCTTTGTGATAATTTCATCAAGGTAAAAATGGATTTTTAAGAATTGATCATTGAAAACAAGTGAATAAGAAAAGAATTATGTAAATTGTAATTTTATTTAAGAATTAAACTGATAGTTTGGAAATTTGATAGTGTTTTTTTATACACCTTTATATACAATACAACTAATATTACTGCATTTTCGTCCTGAAAGGATATTTCCGAACGATAAACCAAACATGAGAGATGGATATCGAGTGAATATGGTATTATCAATGAGGAATATTTTTTTGGACAAGAACTCATATGAAACTGGGCAAACCGCAGACACGATTGATTTATCTTGGACCCGGATGCCACGCAGGTTGCTACAGCTGCACCCATGACTAAGTTGGGAGTTAGTCCTTGTAATCACAAGGTCTTCCAAAGATGACACGAAATCGCAGTGGTGAATCCGTTTGTTGTTTTTGATCCCCTTGCAACCAATTGTTGTCTATCCTTTGTACTTGGCTGTACCGTACTGACGAAGGCTAAATAGCCAGAAACACATGTTTGCGGTTTGGCCACTTTCATATGAGTGCTTGCCAAAAAAAAATCTTCCTCATTTCAGTTACTGTTAGTCTATGAAGGGGATATATATATTCATTTGTTCTAGTGGGATACTTATGAGCAGGTATATTCGCAGTGAAGAGGTGTGAATTTTTATAAATGAACATTAGGCATTCATAGATATAAATCGCGTAGATTGTCATTATATTGGTGGATTTGAATACTGTTCTGCAAATTTGCTTATAATTCAAGTTGTTGATTCCTCTTATTATTCTTTTTTGAACTATGAAAATTTTTTCAATATTTCGATTGCTACCCCAAAAAATAATTCCGTATCGAGCAACCGATTCGAAGTTAGCCATGTATATTGTTTTTATAGCCTCGTTGTGCAGATATTTTGATGTAACTCTAATTCCGTACGATATTCCACTTAGTTTGTTTGCTAGGTTATCAATATGAGAAGTCCAATTCATGTTCTTGTCTATGTGGATTCCTGAAAATTTGGTGATGTAGGACACTTCAAAAGAAGAGTTTAGAAGGTCCACCCTAACTGGATAATCAATGTTATCAGTCCAAATAATATAAACAACACAATGACACAAACAGTGATAAACATCCATAAGTGATAAAAGTAACATGTAAATGTAAAAATATAAATGTAACTAGTTATAGACTATAAAAAAGCCAATAAAATATAATCAACACACATTTTCTCAAGTATTGAAAGTAAAAACTTTAACCAAATGTGCTAAAGCTCAAGATCTCAGGTTAGTTGATTGGTGAATTCTTGAATGGTGTTTCAAGTCCTTTGAAGTAGCATTTTTTTCAGCTAACTTTTGAACACATTAATATTTGGGGAATTCTTAAGAGTTATTGGAAGCATATTGTATAATTTACACCCACTGTACTCTACGCTTTTTTCATACAAAGAAGATCTATGAATGTTTGGTACGATTAGATCTTTCGAACGAGTATTGTGGTTATGATTTGGAAGAGAGGACTGAAAATGATTTATTTTTGAAAACGTATGCACTAGCCTCTAGTATGTAGGTGCTGGCAACTGTAAGAAGTTTTAGCTGTTTAAAAGCATCTCTACATGAATCACGTTACCCTAGCTTAGCTATTATTCTAACTGCATATTTCTGGAGGAGAAATATCCTTTTAACAGAAGCACTCATACCCCAGTTGAGAATGCCATATCGATGGTGTGTATGAAAGTTAGCATGGTACAATGTTAAGAGTATACTCTTAACATTGTACTCATATTTTAGGCAATGGCGGGTGGTTCCACTTATGTCTTGCTTGCGTTTACGCAGTTATTTTTATTAAGTACTTTTCTTGGTTTTTCACATNGTTTTATTATATTATACTCGCAAAATTGACACCCTTCATAGTATTAGAGCCTTAAAATATGCTATATCTTTGTTTGGTCCACCTACGCGTATAATAGCGGATCAGGGTAGATGTTTTACGAGTAAAGAATTTCAAGAATATTGTAACTCACAAGGCTCAAAATTACATTTAATAGCTACGGGTTCTAGTCGAGCAAATGGTCAGGTAGAAAGAGTAATGAGCACCCTTAAAAGTATGTTTACGGCAGCCTAAACGAGTGGAATCTCTTGGCAAGCTGCAATAGATGAAATTCATCTAGCAATAAATTGCACTACTAATCGAGTCACTAAAGCTAGTCCATTTGAATCACTAATCGGTAAAGTAGCCAGGCCTTTTGAATAATGACTGATCAGGCTGATAAAAAAATTGATATCTCCGACGTACGGCAGAATGCGATTGTTAGTATTGAACGTAACGCTGAGTATGATAAATCTAGATTTGATGAAAATAAAGCTAAAGTAGTCCGATTTAATGTTGGAGATTTTGTATTGATTAAAAATGAGGAAAGAAATCAGACAAAGTTAGACCCGAAGTTTTGAGGTCCGTTTATGGTGACTGAGGTTCTTGACGGCGATCGGTATAATCTAAAATCATTAAGTAATAATAGAGCATTCAAATATAGTCACGAAAACTTAAGAAAGATGCCCGAGTGCCATATTCCTGTTAAGTTGGATGTCTCTGACCAAGAAAACAATGAAAATGACTCTGAGACAGAGTCAGAAGCCACCAGGGGAGAGGCCGAGCACTAATGGTAGTTTTGAGGTAGCTGCACTTGCTCCAGGCCGTAACGGCAAACCTGTGGGGTTTGGTCAGGATGCGATGGGCAGTAGGAGAAGTGGCGAGGGCCTGAAAGGGACTTTTGGTCGCACTACTTGCGCCAAGCTGTAGTCGTAACTGCAAATCCGTGTGGGGTTTGAATCGATCTTAGAAGTTGCCAAGATTGTCAGGGCGCGATGGGCAGTTGGCGAGGTGGCGGGGGCCTGAGAAAAGTCGTAAGCTGCACTACATGTGTCAGACTGTGGCAGTTGACAATGTGGCGGGGGCTTAGGGTAAATGTGTACATGGTGGTACACAGTTGTGCTGTATATGATATACAGAGGCAGACCATTAAGGGTGCAAAGAGTCTATACCTATGGTGGATGTGAATTGTTAGTTGGTTGGCGAGGAGACAACTGAATGGAATAAGAGAAGGATTTTTCTTAAGGAAATATTCAAAATGTTTCCGTTAATTTGTACACAAAAAAAATGCCGTTTAGAAATTCGTCAGTATACTGATCTCTAAATAATGGGAATTTTGAATAAGTAGTTTTAAATAATACTCACTATTGTAGTAAGTACAAAAGATTAAGCTTGGGGTTGAAAAAAGTGTTTATTGGTGCACCCGAGGACGTGTGATCGTCAGGATGGCCGTGTCGGAGAAGAAACAATAGTTGGAACTTTCCCTGGTCTAGACTTTCATTGCAGTAGTATTTAAATAATAAAATTTAGAGTAGTTGTTTACGACTCAAGCCGATTATGTTTATCCAGGCTTATAGCGGTATACCTGGGTCCACAAAACTTTTTTATTTCATGTAAAAATTTAATAATTCACGAATATGTACCATGAACATTTTTTTTCTTCTTACAGTGCCTTCTGAAATAAATATTTGAATCGAGTATTTGCCCTATTATTTCACTTTCCCGAATACTAATGAAAATAAACAGTCAACTAATGAATTAATAATTACATTTCATTTACTTTTCAAATGGCTGCACTCAACAGAATTTTCATTTCTTCTTCAGCATCACCAGTTTTTGAATGATTTTTCACAAAATGATCTTCCAACATATGTTTTCTTGCAAAAGACTGTTCACATGATTCACATTTATATTTGGAATTTTTGTGTGTCAAGACATGTTGATCTAGCTCTTCCTGAGAATCCATTCGCTTCCAACAAATTTCACACCTAAAAACGTATTATTGATTGAACTTGAATGGTTCAGATAATAATATTTACAGAAGTAATGAAAAACATAATGAATATATTTGTGAATTCCGATGTGAATGAACATTTCCTTCATTCATTTTAGGCAAAAGACATTCAGAAAGTTAAAAATACTTGCCCAAAAAACACAATGCAGATATGAATATACGAGGGTTGCCTTTTATATTCCGAGGTTAGAGAACAAAAACAAATATTAATCATTAAAAATCACTTTATTGTTTTTCAAAATATTCCCCATGAAGGTCTATATACTTTTGCATGCGTTTGAATCTATGGTCGAAGCACTTTTGCCACTCTGCATTCTGCATTCTAAATGCAGCAACCGCTTCTTCAGGTGTCGAAAAATGTTGACCTCCCAGTTTGTTTTTTACGTGCGGGAATGAAAAGAAGTCATTCGGTGCCAAGTCAGGACTATACTGGACATGTCCAGTTTTTTCGAAAAAACAGGCGACCATTTGCTTGGAAGTGCTTCGTGCGCGAACAACTTTTGTTGGATTTGGCTCATCTTGAAACACCCATACTGTTGACTCCTGTTTACTTTCGGGCTTATTCGCGTAAATCCACGATTCATCACTTGTCACGATGTCATAGACGTGTTTCGAAGCACCGCGATCGTATTTTTTGAGCATTCAACGCGAACACATTTTTTTGACAGTCAAATGTTTATGCAATACTGAATGTATGCTGGTCCCACTAATGCCTAAGGTTATTTCAATCTCACGATAGGTCACATGACGATCTTGCAGTATCAGTTCGCGCACTGCATCAATGGTTATTGGAACAACAAGTGATTTTGGCCTACCTTCACGAATCTCGTCTTCGAGTGAACTACGACCACGATTGAATTCACCATACCGTCGATAAACACTGGTCCTTGATGGAGCTTCATCGCCAATAATTGAATTAAGTTTATCCATGCACTGCTGCTGAGTTAATCCACGTCGAAAGTTGTAAAAAATAATCGCACGAAATTGTTCACGTTTGTCAAAACGTTCTGAGTACATATAAGCTCAAAAATGTCCAACTTTTTGATAGAGCTGTTAGTTGCCAGATTGCAACACTAGGGTTGCTAAATCCCGAAACATAAAAGGCAACTATCGTATTTATGTAAAACCAAGTAATTCCCATTTCATAGATTTCACAAGAAAGATAAATTGTACATATACAAGTTTTCAAAATAGAGTTTTGAGAGTCGCAGGTGAGTGCCGCGAGTCACATGAGTGTGAAAAATGTTTTTCAAACTAGTTGTACCCTATACTTTTTCTATGGCTGCAGCCATAGTACTGTGTACTTTGTAGTACCAATAAAATAAATTTATTACACTACATTGAATTGATATTATAACATTATTTTAAATTTTTTTTTTTACTCATCTTAACTAATCAAGATTTTTAAAAAAACTGAAATACCAACTAATTAAATTAAAAAAATCAATAAAGAAATAGTTAATGGATATAAAAAAGTGGGTAGTTGTCAAAGCTTAGATCTGGAAATTGTGGAGTTTTTCATTACAATTGTTTTTTTTTTTCAATAGAATTGACTTTCAGAATTTCTTATTCGGTGCTGTGTATAGAAAGTTCCTAGGTTGAAAGTTTTTTAATCCTTTGGGGTATAATCACGTTTCCAGAGAATGATTAAGGCTATTTGATGCTTGCCACTGCTGAAATTCATACGCTGCCTCATACATAGGTACATTTGGATGTCTGCGGTAAAAGATCTAGTCAACATTTTTTTGCTTTTTCTTTAATTTCAATTCACTATCAATTTCCATTTTATACACAAGAATATCAACTTTGGACAGTACAAAAATATTTACCGTTTCAGTACACATGATTTCCAATGTATGTTTATTTTATATGTTGGCATACATAGATAAAGAAACTCTTAAAACTTAAACATGGCAATTTTAACTTCAAATTATCTCGAAAACTAATCGTTTTGTAGTACGCACCCCTCCGAGGGGGTGCGTACTACAAAAATCTGATTAGTCTGAGAGGTGTCCCCTTTTAATTAGAAATCGACGTGTTCGAGCTTTTTTTAAAAATCTTACTTTTTATATTAAAAAACGGCTCTGTTAAGTTTTCGTTGTTACACACTGTATAATTTTCTTGAATGTATTGGTTACATTTATCAATCAATGAAAACATTTTTATATCATAACTGCTTTCAGTCAAGCAAAGTTTCAATAGATTACCTACAGCCATTGGGTATTAGTTCTTGAAACAGACCGCCTCTTTACTATACAGGTGCCACAGCGATAATAAATTCAAACATTTTTAACAGGACTGATAACCTCATCTATAGGGTTTCTTTTGTTTACAGCCATAGGAGATGAAGATAAAAGAGGTACAGTTTTGTGTACAGTTTATATTAATAACTTATCAATTATTTGCATGCTAATGTGTCTATATATTATAAGTGTAACTATGCGAAGATTCTTTTTGAAATTTCTTATAAAAAATGAAAATAAATATATTCTCCAATAATGTGCTACAAAGCTACATATGTTCTTGGATTGAAAAAATATTTACCTATATATGAAGTTTAAGTTTTCATGTTGTTTTTCATGTCTCGTCCTTTGATATTTGATTTTAAAAGTCATATTGCAATATTTACAACTGAATCTAGTTAATATTCCGTGACTTTTGATATGCAACTTCAGGTTCTGCATTGATTTCAACACTTTTTTGCAGATTTGACACTGGAAACCACCTGAAACTGTGAAAAAGAAATTATCGAAATTGTTCTGAAAATTCCTAGAATTGAAAACATACCTCGTACACATTTTTCTGATTTTTGATCTCTTTCTTCATTTCTGACGTGACTACGCATATGCCGTTTAAGGTAGTCAGATCTGCAAAATCCTTGTCCACACTCTGAACATTTGAGGTGATCATCTTTGAGATGCATTAGCCTAGACATATAGAAATTATGTTCAGATTCGAAATTAAATAATAAAACAACAAATCACTATCATATAAACACATATCTGTGAGGTACTTGCAGCGAGAAACCTAATAATACTTCCATCAGATAAGATTCTCATTTACTCTTTTAGGCCTACAAAAACTTACGACCTCACGAGTTCTCAGATGTTCTTTTAAACTATTGATGAATGAACTATAGCCCGACAACTCACGTATATGGACAGGTGATTCATTGAAGACTTTTATAGCCTGTGTAAAAGGATTATATAATCCTTTGTTCGTTCTTACCATGCTCAGGTGTAAGTCATTTCTTCCCCTTGTATTATACTCATAAAACTGGTTGTTGACTAGTAGATCGTTGCTTATGATTCTTTTGTTTTTTATTTTATATATGTTCTTGCATTGCTCAAGTTTAAGTAGATATTTATTTGGGTGTAGGTCAGTCTGTGAGACTAAATCATTTGTGTGGGTTCGAAATGGAATTTGAAATAACATTTTTATTGATTTATTTTGTAGTGTTTGAATTTTTTTGAAATTAGTAATGCCACAATTACCCCATATGATTAACAGATACCTAAGACTCACACTAATATTTATGCATTGTAAACCAAGTATATATTACTGAAACTCAAGTAACTGGATCACCTATATAGAGCTCCTAACATTGGTATAATTTTATCATTAATATGTTCTATGTGTTCTGACCAGTTTAACTTATCATCTATTATGAGTACCAAATACTTGGTTTTTGCAACATTCATTAAGGGTAAGTTATTTATTCTTAATTCAATATTTCCACAAATTCTATTTTTTTGTTTAAATAGCATGTAAACGGTTTTTGCAGAGTTCATCTTAAGTTTATAATGTGCAAGCCAATTTGAGTATTTAGAGAGATCTTCATTAACTGTGTTCTCCAGTACATGTAAATCATATCCACTGTACAAAAGGACCGTGTGATCGGCGAACGTGAAATACCTTCCCTTAAGCCCAGCCTGCCACAGTGACAGTGAAAAATAAAATTTCAATTACATGGAACACTGTCATTCTCAATGACAGACATCGATGTTTAGGAACAAGGAATAATCTTGATAACATTACAAGAAGAGGCACTGAATTTATTCATAACATTACAACTTTATGTCACGGATGAACTAAATCTACTCACGTTGAACTTCCAATTTGTGTCTGAAAGTACCTTCTTTACATGATCTACACATCTTTGTGAGGAGTTTATTTTGAATTCAATTGCTTTTTTCCTTTCTTTCCAAAAAATATACCCTTTTCAATTTATCAATATATATTTTCTGGCATTTCATGGTATAATCCAGAAAAAAATTTTGAAATAAATTCGATTGAATAATTCCGTGCAGTCTAACTTGTCTTGTGTTTGTAGATCTTTTGCTGGAAAAATCCTCACTTGTTTACTTTTTAGTACATGTTCAAGATCTAGCAAAAACATATGTGACTTTCTGGAACTTCAACTAGCGTTGACTGATAATCAGTCCGTGCAAAGCTTATTGTTAAATCATCTGAAAATATAACTTTTAACGGGTGATGATCAACTGTATTGCCAAATATGCGCCAAACTAACTGACTATTGTAAGACAACAAGTATAGTTGAGGCACCAGTCAATCTAATAATAACACTGATGATCTTCAAACATACTCAACCTCTGATGGAAGCACCAAACTCTTACGAAGGTTCAAAAAAGATGAACACTTCAATCTAGCAGACCACTATTTCTTCATACAGTGATTGTTCACTGTGGTTCTGGCGTTGAATCTGGTCATTATTATGAATTGTTCAAAGACGAAACTGACTGACTAAATATTCTAGGGATATCATGAATTTATTGAAGCCTCTGGAAACACCCTATATTTTATTCTATGAAAGAGAGGACATTGGCAGATCAAGCAGGTTTTTCCGCGTTTTCCTGCAGCTGAAAAAGCAAATGCGCCACTGGAATCAATCAAGTAGGCTCGGAGCGCCAATAAATTTTTGTTGTTATTTTTATTTTATTTTTATCGTTGTTTTAATAAAATGATCACTTAGATTAAAGTTTGTTGGCCTCTAATATGGTGGTGCACGTATTTCCGGGTTTTCCTGCAGCTGAAAAAGCAAATGCGCCACTGGAATCAATGAGGCTCGGAGCGCCAATAAATTTTTTTTGTTGTTTTTATTTTATTTTTATCGTTGTTTTAATAAAATGATCACTTAGATTAAAGTTTGTTGGCCTCTAATATTCTATTGAAGCATTTGAATCTATATAACAATGGTCTTAAACTCTTAGTTACTTCTTCGATATGATGATTCCATCTTAAATGACAATCTATTGTAACCCCTAGATATCGGACTCTCTCTGCTTGTTTGATGGCAATCTGTTACTTGTATAAAATACAACATTTTAAAATTTTGAAGTAACAGACACACATCATATAATCTCGGGGTTTGACTGACCACTGATCAGAAATTATTTTTTAGATTTATTGACACATTTATTAAAAGCAGCATGTCAAGGCGGTACAAAAGTGAATTGATCTTCTTTGATCAGAAATTATTTTTACTTTTGTAAATATCAGATGTTTATATATGGCTTCTTCCTACATTTTTTCTGTGAAATACTGTTTTCGTATTCTCTAATTGTTTTGTATTTATCTTCCAGATTTATTAGCAATTGTTCATGTAAAGATTGGGCACTTGGAATTTTCACAATATAACAAAAATTTATAATACAATCAAGTCAGTATACATATTTGAGGTTACTTTTTTCTTGTCCGATGAAACTTGATCCATATCTAATTCAGTTTCAAAATCTCCACTATAACTGTCATGCTCATTATCGAATGGATAATCAGTATCAGGGTCTGTAGCAATTGATGAGGAATTAACATCTGAAACTGGGGTCATTAGAAGTAGCTGAGGCTACTAGTGTATATAAAGATTACTGTCTTAGCGATTATTTACCTAAATTAGAAAGGCACTGCATAAGGCAGGTGTCTCATTCCAAAACATTGATATCTGCCATTAAGGATGACACGTGTTCCATGTAATTGAAATTTTACCTCTTTCATATACTATATTGTGTAGCAATCAATGAATGATATCTAATTCAATTCCATGTTTACAGTATAAACTGAATTGGAAAAAGTGTTTTTTGTATAATTCAATATTCATATAAAAGAAGTTGTTTTGAAAGTATTTTTTCTTTCATGTAATTCAATGTTGATATGAAAGTAGTTGTTTTGAGAGGGCTTTTCCAGTTTTTGTGTCTGAAAGTTAATCCTTTGTATGAACTACGCATTTTGTTAAGTTTTTCTGAAATTAATTTCTTTCTTTCTTCCTTCCTTTGGAAGATTCCACATTTTTTGTATAATGATGGAGGAGAAGAAAGCCAAAACCTTTCTTTCCTTATGATTTGAATATATTTTGAATACTGATTTGTATATGTATAATGATGGAGGAGAAGAAAGCCAAAACCTTTCTTTCCCAATGATTTGAATATATTTTGAATACTGATTTGTATATGTTAATGTTTCATCTTATCTGTATTGACGATATATACCCTTCCAAGTTTGAAAAATGTATATTGTTTTTTGTACTCGAGCTTTGAACTTGAAACGCCGGCACATTTGGAGGGCGTGCCTGCAACATCAACCAATGAATACACCCCACACCGTGAGGTGAATGGGTCCGAGAATCATGTGACAGTTATTCAACATAGATTGATAGCTATACGGAATAGGATAAAGAAAATTGTCAGACTGGGAATGTCATTTAAAAATCCTTATATAATTGAAATATTATTAAGGGACTGAATATTCAATTTGAAACCCACTATTTATCATTTCATAGTATATTCCATATAGTTGACATTTATAAGGTGTTATGATGACTCTGCTTTTAGTTCAATTTGTATTAGTCATTTTATAATTGTCCTGTAATTGGGTTTCTCCCAACAAAAAAACAAGCGTGAATGAACGTCTACTAACCTATTATGAGCTACTAATCTATTCCGAACAGTGAATACTTTTTCACATTCCTTACAGGGCCATAAATTAGTATTGATAAGGCCTTCACCATGAGTGTATTTCAAATGTCTTCTCAATTTTAATCCAGTATTAAATGTTTTTGCACATCTGTTGCACAAATAGATTCTATTCTCATGTATGATTTTGTGTTTTGCAAACTGTGTACTAGTTTTGAAAGATTTTCCACACACTTCACAAATGAAACTATTTGGATCATTGTGTACCAATTCATGGCTCCTCATCTGTTCCCTTGTAGGAAATCCTTTACCACATTTCTCACAGATAAGTGGTGGATGTAGTTTCATATGATCTCTCAGGATGTTTCTTGAATAAAATCTACAAAATAAAATATCGAATTAACATTTTTACACAACTGAAGTTTGAACCTATGGACATTAAACTGGCAATATTAGTCCATATTTCAATAATATGTAATTTGAATATTATTATCAGGCATTGTAACGAACTGGCTACTACAGACATAGCTCTACATATTACAAGAAAATACCTTACTACCAAACAATAAAAGCATTTAGTTATTTACCAAAAAAACTTGAAAATATCATAACACTAGAGAAGTTTATAATTCAGCAATAATTTGTAACTTATGACCAATTCAATGTTTGAATTTTGTTGATTGTAAACAAACCAGTATCGCAAGTATTCCAAAAATAAACGGTTATAAAAGGGAAAGTGGAAAATATAATAAAAAAAAAAAAAAATGGGGCTCACAAATACAAATTTATAAATTTTCTGAAAGAACGTGATTTCGATATCCTGATACCTTGTTTTTTTTTTTTGTTTCAAAGGGAAAAAGAAATTTTTTATTTTGGTGAAACCTCTTGTGGACAGATGAAGTAACCGAATGGTACGGTGAGTCCCCATATCCGATGAAGGTCCCAAGAAAATCCTGATTATGTAATTGAATGTAGTGATCAGTACCAACTCATTTGAAACTTTTGGCTAATGATATCAGAAATGCTTTAGATAATACGGACCTTAATACCAAACAAAAATTATAGTACCAGCTTGATGACACACCAATACATTAAAGTATTACAGTATAGCAGTGAATAAATCAAAATTCTCAGAGGCAAACATCATTGGACTTTTTCTGTGGGGTTATTTGATGCAGAAAGTTTATGAAAGTGGACTTTCCATGCCATGTTCTGTCAGTGTGCGTGTTCGCTCGCGCGTGTTGATGCGCGCGCGCGTTGGTGCGAGTGTGTTTGTTGGCGCGTGCGTGTTGAAGGATAACGAATGTTTTGACATGAATCCAAGAGACAACTTTATAGGACATAGTTATCAAAAGATGGCAGAATGTGCGACTGGCTTCTGTTGGTGGCTTTGTGCACATTTGTTTCATTTGGAAACCAAGTGTTGCCACTCCATACACCTGGCTGTACCATACTGATGGTATAATTTACTATACTATATAATTACATACTCACCTAAGGTTACATACTCCACATTTAAATTGAGGTTCATGTTTAAAAACGATTTTCTTTTTTTTTAAATTCAGTTTTTTAGATTTTTCCCGTTCTAGTTTTTGCTTTGCACGTCTTTTGTGCGATTTCAAATGACGACAATATATCCCTGGTGTAACGAAATATCTAGAGCACTTATTACATTTGAATGTTGAGCCAATTAAAATTATTCTTTTTCCTTTTGTGGTTTTCTTCAGGTCTTGGGAGTACTGGAAAATTTGTACATTATTTGATGCAAGAATGCTACTAAATACATTTAGCCCTTTAGAAGAAAGATGGTTAGTAGAAATGAGTCTATTATGATCAAGAATTTCATCTGGTAATGATTTCTGAAAAACATCATGGTCACTTTGAGAAATATCATGGTCACTTTGAGAAATATCATGGTGACTATTTTTGTTCATATCTTGATCCATATCTAATTCAGTTTCAAAATCTCCACTATAACTGTCATGCTCATTATCGAATGGATAATCAGTATCAGGGTCTGTAGCAATTGATAAGGAATTAACATCTGAAACTGGGGTCATTAGAAGTAGCTGAGGCTACTAGGGTGAAGTACAGTAAAACTTCAATTATCTGAACTCAAACAATCCGCATCACCAATTATCCGGATGTGCGTTCAAAGATCAAGCAAGAGTAGAGCATTTTATAACTCTTACTGAAATGTTCAAGTAGTAATTTTCATTTTGTACCTACGTAAGTAAGCATTATTGCCATTATACTGTAGTCCAACTTTTATTGTTTATAGTAATACAATTATGTTTCAAGTACCGCATTAAAATCAGTTAATTTTTTTCAGTAACTTTTAGTGTATATTTCCTTAAAATTAAGCATTTTTTTTCTTATAAAATCCAATTGATTCGGATAATTGGAGTTTTAATGTACTGTACTCCATAATTTTCAGCTTACCTTTGCAATTTTCAAGGTGAGGATTATCTTCAGTATGTCTAGTGCCTGACAGATTATTTATGCGCTCAGATTCAACACATAAACATTTATAAATGAATTTTACACACTGCAATAAAACTGTCCTACAATTTGCACATACAATATCATCATCATCCAATAAAGTTTTCTGAAATATAAATATTATACATTACTCCAATCATAATTAATGATATTATTCCTAACAAAAATAACAATTACCCATTGCTGAAATCTCAATAGAATTATTTGTCATAAATTTTGAATGTGTTACGAATTACAGTATAATCAATGTATGTACTGTTTACCTACTCTATCTACTTGAATTATTTTCTCACCATTTGAGGAATTAAAAGGATCACCATGTCTTTAATAGTTGTTTTGAAATTGGGTATGTTACTGTTTATGGAATAAAAACTACCACAGGTGGTGGTACAAGTTCGGCACGCCACTTTTGAATCAAGTTTAATATATTGATTCGTTTCGCTTTTTTCCGTGAGTACTTGCTTCGTGTTATCTACAAGAAAACATCTGTGTCATAGCATTCCCAGAGAGTTGATTTCAGTTTGCAAAAGTTTATATAACAATGTATCTTAATGATATTAAGATTTGAGGAATATCACACCTTCTAATAAAAATTCCTCAAGTTTTTCTGTATTTTCTTTGGTACCTGAAAATAAATGATTATATCAACAAGTGTTTGAATAATTGGAATTACTCTTTCACCTCCAAAGTCGTCTTCATTCCTAGCATATCTCTTGATATATCTAAAACAAAGTCAATATAGTCAATAAATTTCTCATCCTCTCAGTAACGTTTTGAGACTTACATTGGATATGACTCTAAATCAATAGACGAAACATTTTTATCACCAACTTGAAGAGGGATTATAGAAGTCAGTTCCCTGAAATAATAAGTAAATACATATTTAGCTAATATACAGTCTCTCCATCTTGAGTTTTGAACGGAACAAAATATCAAAGGTCGATTAAAATTTATGCAAAAAAAGTATCATTTCTAGTATTTTTTGACAAGATAGATCGATGGATACAGATGTATGTAATTTAAATAGGAAATAACTAAAAAATACATGTGAAGCGAATCAAAAGTAACATAAATGCATAATCACAAATCTTAAAGGAAATCATAACACATTAGACCTAATACAAAGTATTAACTAAAATATAACAGTTCATTTGTTTTTTAAATGATGAATGTGTTTTGGCAGATCTGACATTACCAGGCAAATTATTAGTTGCAGATTGGTGGAGAAATAAGCAAAATGGGAAACTAAGGTTTACTAGGAATAACTCTTTATTGACAACTAACTACAGTATATTATTTTCATATGTAACTCAGAATCATAATAAAGATCATGAATAATAACAAATAACATTAATAAACTGGTTGAAGCCTTTGAATAACATAGAATTAATATGCCTGGTGTTATAAATTCGGCACCTAGGCAAATCATTCCTATTCCGAGTTGAATATTCATATACTTCTCTGTTGAATATAATAGAGTTATATAGATTGACTGAAGCTGAATAATTCATTATTATGCAGATGAAAATAATAAAAAATTAACGTTGAACCACAACGCAGATAACATATTATTTGGTGTACGAGTATAACAATTGCATCTCCTCCGCTTTAAATTTTTTGTAGTTGCACCAATTTATTCAAATCAAAATTACATAAGACTGTTGCACAATAGAAAAAATGAGGCTAAATGATACTTCTATATTGTGATTCGTACTTGTGCTCTCGACAGATAGACATTGAAAGAACAAATGTGCCACAAAAACTTTCAATTTTTCCTTATTCTTTTTTTTTATTTCCATTGAATTACCAATATTAGACCTCCTATACTGGTACAAACAAACAATTATCGGGGTTAGAATTAACAGCTGGGAACAAATTAAGGAGTTAAAAAAAGATAATAATGAGGAGGAAGATTCAGTAAGCATGTAAGGGGAGGAGGGGAAAGACTAGTGTTCCAAATAGACTTGTCCGTTAGCTGTGGCAGAACACACACTCAGTGAAGGAAACCACAGGATTCTGTTTTAAAACACGAAACTCATTGCCCCCGACCAGGGATACCATAGCCGATTGGTATGGGAGGAGAAATCCACAAACAAACAGATAATTTCAACAGAAAAGAAGAAGCTGTGAACCTCAATCAAATATGGAATACCATTCTAAGGAGTTTAAAATTAGCAAACAGCATGACTGCAGGTAGAAAATGGTCAACGAAAGTTATTGACAATGTACCAAATTTAAGTACAGGTATTGTTACACCAGACTACCTGAATCAATATTAACTAGCTTAACTTAATTTAACTATGCAGGTACATATATTAGCACACCAAACTACCTGAGGAGTCAATTTAAATATGCCTTACGCAGCCATAATCAGTAAAGTCAGTAAGAAATTCCAAAAATCCACGGCCCTCAAACCCGGAAAATAGTGACATTGAAAATATCAGCCCTTTAGATTTATGCTCAGTATTACAGATAATAGTGTAACAAACTAAAACTTAACAAACTAAAAATTAACTGTCTTAAACAAATTTATTTGCAATAATATTTCACTAATCACAAATTAATTTATTTACAACACTCAGCAACTAACGCTTAATTTATTTCCACTATTTGAATTTCTTGTTTAACCGATATATTCACTTTCTGAACTGCCCTCTTGGATCGGGAAGCCGTGCTCAAATAATGTAACGGTTCTTTCTAGAAATCTGTAGCCGGTTCGGTACTCGACTAGAGTTTTACCGACGGTTGCCGACTGCATTCTTTCTCGGTGATGTCATGTGTTTGTTCGCTGGCCGGCATATCGGTCAAAGGCGGCTTCAGATTCGTTACAATAGCAGTTAGATGTGCTTGGGAGGTTGGTGATGATTGTGGAAACAGTTATCACTTATATGTACATATAATGAGGTTATGTGTGTAATATATATCAAAGAAACGGGGAAAAAAAAGCTTTTCATAAAGCAAACTGGATAAAATACAATACAATATTAAATCAACTTAAGACATGATTAACATGAGCTATGAAGAATTAACATAGATTAAAAATAGAGCAGAGGATAAAACAATACCTAAATATCAACAAAAATAAATTAAGTGGAGTGGATCACCATGCTGGGACAATGACTGCCAACAAATGAATTTGGAAAAAAACAAATGATGCCTCATTTTTAAATGAACCCAAGTTTAGAAAATTATATTGAAGCCAAGAGAATGATAGCAAAAACAAGACGGTTTTTCAGAAGAAAAAAAATAGTTTTGAAATATTTTGTTCAGCATTGAATAGAGAGTTGAATATTTCATATGTATGGAACACTATGAGAAGGTTTTCAGACAAAAAATTAGGCAAAGGTGATAAAAACAATTATCCAGATAAAGAAATAGCGGTACAACTACTAAATAAATATTCAATATTCGATATGGATCCGGAATTTACTTAGATATATATGATACAAATCGATATGAATAATCTCAAGAAAGAAAATTGTAGCTACAGGTAACAAACACAATACATATCATATATGTACATTGGAAACAAATTTCTTCAGTTCATTTTTGAACACGTTCAGAGATGGGCTATTTTGGTAATTGGTTGAAACGATCCATACATAATGGCATCAATAGATCTTTCAAACGAATAAAAAATTGCAGTGATATCTCACACACACTTTGTTTTATTTAAATTTGAAGAAGAAAGCACTTAATAAAAGACCCTACAGTAGGAAGCGTATGGCAATACAAATATTAGGAAAAGCATCCTGCAAATCATGCGCATAGATCTGTTGCAGGAGACAGAAACCGTTAGATTTTTCTATATCACCAAATAAAAGTGGAGCAAATCATTTTTCGTTTTTCCTACTCTCCCTGAAGGCACTGCAAATTAATTGTATATGTCATCTATGAATTATTTGCTACATTTTGGTTAAAAATGCGTCAACGAGTATTCACTTTTCACTGACATTTAAGGAAAAATTACATTTTTTTCAATTCTTTCAAACTTCCGAAGGCACTACAAATTGATTTGATAATGCAAATGTCATATATATTCCATTTGAAACATTTTGGTAAAAACAATAAATGATGGGCCATCATTAATCAAAGTTTCAGAAAAAATGCCAAAAATTATTTTACATGAAATAATAGACATTGATGAATTCAGTATTTTTATTCATTTTACCTTTAGGACACCGTTGCAATCTACTTCAAGAGCCATTTTCAGATTTTACAATCAGGGGCATATAAAAGTGTGACTAGGAATCATAGCAACAGTGCAGGGATATTCTCTTCTATCCCGATTTTGATGGTCTCCACATCAAAAAGCATGGCTAGAAAAGCATGGATAACTTGACATAAACGCTATAAGATCTGTATCTGTAGAGTAAGGAGGGTGAGTGTGAGCCCACGCACTTAGGCCACATGTGACCCATTGTGCATCCTCCCGAGGAATTGTCCTCCTGAGTCATCCTCCATCCTGTCCTTTCCAGGAAGGTGGACAGGTCGCTGGGAGACATCTTCTTTATATTGGCAGGCGTAGGCCAAGTCTCGCCGAACACACACTCTCTCATTGATGATAACTCCGGGCACTTGCACAGGACATGCCTGACAGTCTCATCTTCCTGTTCACACATCCTGCATAGAGGTGTGTCCACTAGCCCCATATTATGGAGGTGTTTCCTTAGTTGACAGTGGCCAGTCAGAAATCCTACTGTAAGGCGTAGATTTTTCCTGGTCATCGCCAGATATTTCTTCGGCGCCAGCTTTCCAGGTCGCCCAAGGTGATCCTGGCAAGATTACATCCTTTGATTCCATCCCATCTCTTTAAGGATTGAGCATGGGTGTAACATTTGACTAGTCGCAATTGTCGAAGTCATCAGGCCGTGGGTGCCACTGGGTCCTAAAATTCTTAGTCCAGCCGCTTCCTTGGCTAAAGAGTCGGCAATGCGATTACCTTTACTCTTGTCGTGCCCTTTAACCCACCTCAGGATAATGTTATTATCTACCGAGGCTTTGGTTAAATCTTGGTGGCACTCTAGTACTAGCCCTGAGGTAACACGCTGTCTGTTCAAGGCTGATAGTGCTTGTATGCTATCAGTGTAGATTGTTATGTTTTTGCTAGAAATTCCTTTCTTGGTTATTTCTTTTGTGGCGATTGAGATACCAGCCAGTTCTGTTTGGACCACGCTGGTATTTCTTCCCATTCCCCACTTAATCCTTAGGCTTAGTGATCTGGAGTACACTCCACATCCTGAGCCTTCAAACGCTATAAGATACTTTCATTTCAAAACTATCACTCATACCAGCAATGAAGGAATCCATCCAATCATTCTAAGGAGGAGGGAATGCAAGGAATGACAGTAAGAAAAATTCCACAACTAGAAGTTCTCATTTTTAAGAATGTCAATTGAAGGGATAATGACTCTCATAGACGACACTGTCCATCAATATAGCTACTTCATTGTGAGATTTTTCCCAGAAAGGTTTACAAAACCGCGACACTTATTTCACTATACAACAGCTTTTTCAGGAGCGATCAATACCATCTTCAGTTAGTGTTATTTAAATACATTATAATGGATTTTCATCAAGAATCGGCCAGTTCCATCACATCAAAACTGAATGCTGATTCCTATGGCATTCCATACTAGGTCAAAGAAATAACTGAATATTAGAATCAAAACAAAGTGAAACAGAGTTTAATGAAAAATTCAATTGCGGAAAATATTCAAACTTTCAAATTTCCATCTTGATATCTTTTGAAGATGGTTAACAAAGTATTTAATGGATGTCGTTTCCCAGTTATGACAATATTCAACTTCAATACTCAGTGTTACATAGAATATAAAAGGGCACATATTAGAATGAGGAACGACAGAAATTGCCTGTGTCAGGGAATTTATAAATATAAAACTAGTTGTCAATTAAATACACTATAAAAAATTCACCATCATACCTGAATATTGGTCTTGGAGCCAAAGTAGAACTAGTTGAATCAGATGTATTATGTACATTTTCCGTTGGCAATAGTTTTGGAGTTGCATGAACTTTCAAAATAGTTCTGTTCATTTTGTAAACAAAAGGTAAACTGCCCAAGTTTGGAACCACTTCTTTTCTACACTCCAATCTATAGCTTTTCATCCAAGAATCATATATTCACTAAGACTGAAATGTAATCAATAATAATTACTATATTATCGACAGCAGTGTCTTCATTTAACAAGATGAACACTAGAAAAGTAGTTTAAATATAATTCGATTAAAGAGATCCTGAGAAAAGAGTACTGACAATACATAATAATATTTACAACAATGCGAGTGGAAAGTGGAAAAGTCAAAATATTTCATTCAAAGGGAAATATTTTTTCAATAAAATACATACATACAATTCAAAATAAAAAATGGACAAAAGCGAAAAGCTCTCGCACGGAAAAGCTTAATAATAAATAATTTTCATCGGTGACCTATGACTGATTGTTACATATAATACATGTTATATTAGAAAAATCAAACCATATAACATACATATGACCGTTACTTACTGTTTAATGTAAAAGCAGCACAGTAGTCACAGCATAGGTATACGCTGTGGTACAGTATACAATAATAAATCTACACAGAATATCGGAAACTGTGGTGAAAGCGTCTAGGTTAGGTGGTAGTTGGTATATTCTTTGGTTAGGTTTGTCATCAAACTATGGTAAAAACGTATAATCTGTGACGTGAGTATCCATAGAACTCATAAATTGAGAAGGCTGTTACGGCAAGATGGCGGTGAATACTTCTCAAGAAAAACAATGAATTGACAAAGTAACAACTTGTATTAACATTCTCTTAAAATTCCTGTAGTGAAAGTATGTATTGTTGACGGAACTAATCTATTAGTTGAAAGATAAAGCTTGATCGAGCCTTAAGGCGAAGAAATTTTCACACTTGAAAACATTATATTTTTGGAAGATTTGTCGCAAGTAACTTTTCTTATGTATTAAAAGCAGAAATTAATTTCATTTGGTCGGGAATGCCACCAACAGACCGATTTCGGGGTACTAGCTTCTCGTCAGTGTTGGGTGGGTAATTTCAGACGAATTGAACCGGTTTATCGGTGGTCATCCCGACCAAATGAAATCAATTTCAATTATTAATAGGCGTATATAGGAAGTTACTTGCGACGAATCTTCCAAACGGAAGACGTTGCCCAGGTGCCTAATGGTTTTACTTCAGCTTTGTGTGCGGCATTAGCTATTGTTTTTTCGTCGGTTATCTGCCACACACCTACAAAATCGTATGTCTCACATGAGAGGCGAGTGTTTGATATTCTTTTTACCAGAACTTGGGCATACCGTATGCACCTCTCCGGAATATATTTGGACTTTAATTTTGTCAAAATTATTGCCCAAAAAAAATATGTATCGAAAAGATTATTTTCGGAAATAGTACTCATTTTACAAAAAAAATTATTGTGAACCATTCAAGTGAAATTTACTCATATTTACTTTTATGCCTTAGAGTTTGTCTGATAGTTTTTGTTGGCCCAAATATTGGTTTCACGTCGTGTTTCTCCCGATCCGGTCTATAACATTTTCAATATGGGAAAGGAACACTTTTACCTTGACCAGCATAGCTGGGGTTACTTTGGCGTTCTCTCTTCTTGGTCGTATGGCCCGCTCGAATTCTCTCTCGCTGTAACCATTCCCTTTGAAGGCATTTTTCGAGTGATTGGATTCCTCAGGTTCACAAAGACGTCATGCTCTCTCAACCAATGTTTTAATTACCCCTATCTTTTGTGACTGGTGGTAAGAGTTTTTGTCCAGGTACCTGTCTGTGTTTTGGTTTCCTGTACACTCTGTGGCCCAACGTACCATCTTTGCGTTTACCACAAGAAAATCCAAGACACGAAAGCTAGAGTCACTTCTTTGATTGACGACTTGTTTATTTTGTGGAAATTCATGTTCACTGAGGATACACTACAAAAACACACTTTTGTCTATTTTCCACGATATTTCTTTATTGTTGACTAGTTTCGGCTATTGAATGGAAATGAATGAAATGGAATGAAAATGAATTGAATGAAAATGGTGTAATAGCCGAAACTAGTCAACAATGAAGAAATATCGTGGAAAATAGACAAAAGTGTGTTTTTGTAGTGTCTCAGTGAAAGCTAGAGTCCCTTGCGTTTCTCGTTCCATTGTAAATTGGATCGAAAGAGTTTAGATGGGTTTTTAGACATCTTAGTTTAGATATGATAGTGTATCTTCACCATCTTGCCATATCACGAACGTGTCATCAACATAGCGCAGCCAACAATATGGTTTCACGGCCGCTTACTCTAAGGCCGCTAATTAGCCGTATCGTGTCATTGTAATAAATCCAAGGACGCTTGGAAGTTAATTAATTACGAGTGAAATTTAAACAAAACCTTTCAGCCTCAAGCAGCATTTCCCCTGATGAATATAACATCTTTTTCACAAATGTAGCTAAACAAACTGTAAAATACCTACCTTCCTGCAACATTAATGCTATAACTTACCTTTTTACACTCCCCAAACCTAGTACTTCTATATTCCTTAGTGCAGTTACTGAGGTTGAAGTTAAACAAGCAATAATTAAATTAAAAAAACGTTTTGCTTGGACATATACAACTTAAACGGTAGAACGATTAAAGACACCCTACACCTTGTCTCTGGTCCATTGATTGTTCTTTACAACTGTTGCCTCTGTGAAGAACTATTTCCAGACATCTTCAAAACAAGTAAAGTTATTCCCATAAGCAAAAAGGGTGATCCAAACATTCTAGATAACTATAGACCCATATCTATCATTCCTATCTTTGGTAAAATTTTTGAGATGCTAATTAAAGATCGCTCAATTTCCTTTTTCAATGCTCATTCAGTATTTAATGAAAATCAATTTGGATTTAGGTCTAACAAATCGACAACCCAAACTGTGATAGCTATAGTTGATACAATAATAGAGAATATCGCTCTAACTCTTTGTGATCTAAGTAAGGCTTTTGACAGTGTAAATCATGAGCTCCTACTAGGTGAATTGGAATATTACAGGATACGTGGCAGAGCTTTAGAGCTAATGAAAACCTACTTGTGTTGGAGAAAACAAGTTGTTTATACATCTGGAAATTCTAGCACATTTAGATCCACTTTACACGGTGAACCACAAAGATACATACTGGGATCAACATTTTTTGTGGTATATATCAATGATATTTTTAATTTCTTACTCCCAGGCCTATCTTTTTGCTATGCAGATGATGTATCAACGGTAGAAGCAGACTCAAATGTTAACGACTTAATGAACCTATGTTCTAGAACAGATAATGATGCTGAAACTTGGTTTACTTCAAATTATCTCAAACTAAACAGAGATAAGACACAGAACATTATAATATCATCAAACAGACAACTAACGAAGAAGAAACATGTAATTTTATTGGGGTTTAAAATTGATGACATGTTAAATTGGAAAGCACATGTTGCTGGTCTGTGCAAAAAACTTTCTACACAACTGTTCCTACTTAGGCAGCTGAAAATATGTCTTAGTCAAAGTATGGTATTACAGACATACTTCTCTCTTTTTAACAGCCACCTAACATATATATGACATACTTTTATAGGGCCAGTCTTCACATGCAGTTTAAGCTTTTCATATGCAAAAAAAGCAATCCGGATCATAGTCAATGTTTCTTACAGAGAACACTGTCGTCCTCTATTTCAAAAACTCACCTTAAAAATGCTGACTTTCATAATTACCCCACTCGAAGAGGTGCACACCTGAGGCCTCAATTTTATAGACTGGATCTATCAGCTCGAAATTCACTCAATTTACATTTATACAATAAACTACCAACATACATTACCGGTCTGAGTTACAATCGTTTCAAGGCTAGAGTTAGGTACTCACTATTAAGGCACTGTTTCTACTCCATCGACGAATATTTGAATTATGAGACATCAATATTTTAATATGTTACATGTGTTTTTTATTATTTTTTTCCATACTAATTGTTTTAGATGTAATCAGCGTGTATAACAATAACTATTGTTCAATTATTGTTATTCTTGTTTGTCAGTTTGACTTGTCACTATTGTACATTTTGTAGTTAATGTGATGAAATAAACATATTCTATTCTATATATTCATTGATCAGAACCATTGTGTATAGGGACACCACGCTGAAGTTCACTAGTATGTCTCCAAAACCTAACTTCATATTATTTCCTATAAATGGCTGCAGTAAGGTTGTCCATATTCGAATATCAAAGATATACCAGGCTCCCCAAGGCAGTCAGTTGCAAAGCCAGGCTTCAACATCGACCGCCGACGAGATTTATCCTGCCTTTTAGTGCAAGGCAACTAATTGAAAACCAGAGCTCAAACCTGATGCTTTTATGATTCAACACCAGACAGCGCTAGATTCGACCCGCCATGGGTCTTATCAGTGGCGCTAGACTCAACCACAAATATATTACTGGAGAAAACCGTCCTCAATGGACAATCCTGAGAAAATGAGGCCGATAACATCTCCCCTTACAAAGATGCCATCTATAGGATTGACTAAGAACTGAATCCTCGAATATCAAAGATGAAGGTTCTCAAGATGATTATGTTTGAAGTTTAATTGATGTATGCTGTATCTTTTTATTTTCTGTGCTTTCTTTTTCAGTATACTTACTGCTATTCGTTTTCAACACTAATAAATGATTTCATTATATTGTGGTTCTTGATATAATTGCTATTGTTCAATTGTAGGCAAAATATTTTACCTTACTTCTTTTTACTGCTTGCTTTCCTCTAACACTTACTATCAACTAACTATGCTGTCAGTTTTTAAGCTGTCGCTGATTCAAGGTTTTTTTTGGTACCTTGGGAGCTGTCTGACTTGTCCATTTAATCCAAGTCTCCAGAAAACACTGCAGCCTCTTGGGCTTATTGCGTTTATTCTCCCATCTTCTCATGACACCCATTCCATCAGTCTCGTTCCCTGTACTGGTTTGTACAGGTTCCGTGTTGGATGTTCGTCATATTCTTCTGGACGTAATGTCGTGCCTCACATTCGCATAAGATTTGTAGAGCTATCCCTTCTTTCCATAATCTGCAGCTGAGGTCTTCGTTGTACAGCCCCATTTTATTCAGGTGTCTTCTAAGCGGACAGTGACCGGTTAGTAGCCCTGTAATTATTCTGAGCCGATCAATTCAATATGTGCTCCTCCACTTGTTCCGAAATTTCTGTTCGGTTCGATCTTTTATAGTTCGGTGAGTTTTCCAGTCTGAATTGGACCATCCTGGTCTTCCCCATTATCACAAGGTGTAAAGGAGGTAGATTCAAGAGTGTCTCCAATGTAGCTGTTGGGGTAGTTCTCATTGCTCCCGCCATTCCCAAACATGCAAGTCTTTGCACCTTGCCTAGTTTGTTGATGGCGATCGTCTGCTTCATCTTTGACCACCAGACCAGATATGCGTATGTTAACATGGGTTTAACCACCATCGTGTATAGCCAATATACCATGTCTGGTTTTAGCCCTCATGTTTTTCCATAGGTGCGTCTACCAAGCATCAGTGCTACCTCCGCTTTCCTCTTTATCCTGTCCAAGTGTTGGTTCCAGTTCAGTTTGGAATCTAGAAATACTCCCAGATATTTAACCTCCCCCGACACTTGTATTTCTTCACCTCTAAGTTTTAGAGGTCCGAGACCCTCCGTTTTAGTCCTCTTGGTGAATGCTACTATGGTCGATTTGGATGGGCTTACGTTAAGCCCTTTTTCTTCGGTCTATCTTGTTATAATATTCAGGGCCTGCTGCATGCATCCCTTCACTACATTATTGTATTTACCCTGGACTAAGATGACTAAGTCGTCTGCATAGCCCAGTGCTTTAAACCCATTGAGGTCCAAGAGACATAATAGCTCGTCCATCAGAAGGTTCCATAACAAAGGGGATACAACCCCCCCTGAGGACAGTCCCTGGCAAGGTTAATGAAAGGTGAATTTTATGAATCAACAACTCTGAACCACCATCGTATCATTTTCCTTATTAAATATTGGAACTATCAGTGTCACTGTTTTTCGGGTTTGAAAGCCGTGGATTTTTGGAATTTCTTCCTGACGTTTCGCTGGCGCGAGTGGCTATCTTCTTCAGAGGTTTAACCATCATGGCTTGCTGTCCGCTGACATCGGACAGCCAACCATTTTGTTATTGGAACTATGATACCTATTCATTCTGGGTTTCCAATAGAAAATTTAGGGAAAAAACAAACACGAATGTCATTTAACTTACATTTAATGATCATAGTTGGATTGCCATAAATGAAAAATGAAAATATTATTCATATAGTGGGCCAAGACCTGTTGAGAGGAGATTTTGGTATTCTTCTTCAGCATCCCTATCCTCAACATGAATATTCACCATGTGCTCATTTAACAAATATTTTCTCGCAAAATATTCTCCACATGTATCACACTTATATTTAAAATGGTCATGGTTCAAAGAATGTATATCCAACTCTTCTTGGCTTTTCATCCTTCTCCAACAAATTTTACACCTTGAAAAAGAAATAAAAGAAATGTTTGACAGTAAACTCAGACAATATGTTTAATATTTATTTGAATGTTCAAGTAATAATTTTATATTTTCTGTATTAGATCTATTGACACATACCGAACTGATCAATTTAATGGAGCCGAAGATTTAATGTAGTCATGTATTCACCATTTCAAATATTTCCTAAAACGGAAGATAATGATGGTTAACTTCAAAAACTTGAAGAGAAACATACTGATCACGACTTCTGCTTTCTACTTTTACATTGATATTTTAGGTCGAGAACTTCCAAAGAAATGAAGAAAAAAGGATCGAGATTCTAGCAACGATTGAAGTCAATATCATTGACGCAATATCATATTTAGTAACAATATCATAAAAGGAGTGTTTCTTTTGAGGAAATCGTTCAGAAGTGTCTTCTATGATGTGGATACAGATTTTATTGTTTAAAATTTAATGCGATATATTTTGATGCATATTATAGAATATTAAAAAGACTTTGCTAGGCTCCTGAAGCGTCCAACTTTTTGGAAGTCGTCCCAATATTGTTATCCAACAAACTCTCTTCATTTGGTAGAGTAGGTCATGGAGATATCGCACATCAAGAATGACATTTTTTGCATCTGTTTCGAGAAGATTTCTGCTGCTTCACGGCAAGCAATATAATCTTGAAGATATATTTCATGGGTAACCAGAAATGTGTTTTGGTCGTTCTAAAAACACCTCTATTGTGGTACTAGTAAAAACCCAGGTAAATATGTTTACTCGTGGTGATAATGTCTTCAATTTGGAACATTTGAACGGGCTATTGTTAAAAGGCACTTTGGTCACTTTTATATTGTTTTGCAATTGGAGAGTAAAGAAATGTTATTGTCTGAAAGACATTTTTGTGAGCTATTCAAACTAAAAAAGTTACAATATTGAAATCATCCTGACGTTTTGTACTACCAAACAGACACTTAGTAATTTACTTGGTTTACCCCATGGTTGTAAGGGGTGGAAAACACAACCCCTAAATTTTAAAAGCAATCTTTCTAGTACTGGTAGTAGGTTGTTATTCAATCAAATTAAGTACTGCTTCCTCAAGCTGTGGTGTTCGTACTTTTAGATGGCGACCACAATCCTGCGTTCTTTTGTCGAATGAACCATATTCTCGTAATCGTTGATGAAGTTGAACAAATATTCTATGTGAAGGATGCTGCCGTTGAGGTTATATTTCAGCATATCTTCTAGAAGCTTCTAACCCATTCCCCTGCGACAGACCATAAACGTAATGCATACCAGCCATTTCCTCATTTGTGTATGCCACTTTGAAAACAAGTGAATTATTAAAGTAACAAATTAAGAACAGAACAACAACATACAATTAGTATTAATCCAATTTCGAAAATTCACAAACTGACAGCGTCATACCAATTTAATTGTCACTTTTTCCAATGGCCCACTCACTTGATTTATCAAATGTGGATGATAACAGAGTAGAGTAAAAAACAGTGAAGAAATATATCTCACCAGTTTATGAAATTCATCTTCCTTCAGTTCATCGAAACTTAAAAGTAACTTTCGAAAATAAGTGGCTAATATCCATATTCATTTCAATTAATATAGGAATAATCAATTTATTGGAAAATGTGTGGTCACAGTGTATGATTTCCAGTTTCCACTTCGAAAATATTTTGGCTATCAACTTATCTCAAAAGTAACCAACAATAATATATTTTTCAGATAACCACTGTCAAATTGTGGTTAGTAGATGTTAAAAAATTATTTTTTTTCAAAATATATCTTGAACCTGGAAGGAAGGAGTGAAGTTTCAGATATCAATGCTCTGGTCTTTTTGAAAAATAATTCACCAATATTCAGAGTACTGAGAAGAAACCCAGCATATCAAAGTTTGAAATGGCATATTGCTTTCCGTATTAGAATTTTGCCTGAAAAGCACTTTTGAAAATTGCAGAATTATATATTTCGCGTGGTCAAGAAGTTATGCCCAAAAATAATATCAAATAGCCGAACAGTTGTTGCTGTGTTTTTTTATCGCATATATTTTTTACAGTTGCTGCAATAATCTGTTCAATAAACAGACAAATATTTGGTAAAACCTATAAACTTTCAGTCACCTACACCTCTTTAACAAGATCGAGTTGGAGTTGACTGGTGACTTTATTAGGTTTTTATTAGTACAAAAGTTTATGTGGATCCTTGATGAAACTCAATATTTCAAACCGATCGAATTTCTCCTTTTTTCTCCTGTACTTCTTTCCTAGGCACACTCATAAAAAAAGCGATGTATTTCCAACAGGAGTACGCAGTTAGAGGAAATGCTATTATTAGAGAGTATATATGAAATAGACATTAAAAATAATGGAATATAGAAAAGTATAAAAGTAAATGCTAAAACAAAGTATATATAAAATATTCATATACGTAAGAATAAAAAATTGAGTATATAACACAAAAAGTTACAAATCATGCAATGTAGCAGTACTGACACAAATGTTATTTACAGTATTATCAAAAGTGATTGTGGATACTTGATACCAAGGCGTTCAGAGAGTCGAAATGAATATCACAATGTTCACAGATTTTATTGAATCATAGCATAACATTTGAGCGTGATGTTTTGCAATAGAATTTCAGAATGTGTCGACCTTCACCTCATCCTGCAAAGGTAAGCAAAGCCATTTTTAGTAATGGTTGACCTCAACCATGTTAAAACTTTTCAAATCATATGAAAGGATCATTCAATTATACAGCTGGTACATTATTGAGCAGTGGAATAACCAGTTATCATGTGTTGAGAGATGAAAATGGTATTTTTGTTAAAACTTGTGAGTGCTCAGTACTCATTTACTCTCGACTTACCTGTATTTCAGTAACGATTCACATTTTTCGTGAAGCTTCTCGTGTCTGTTCCGTTGATATTTATTTTTGAAAGTACTGGTGCAATATTTACAGTTGAATCGAGATAACCTTCCATGACTGCGAATGTGCAATTTCAAATTTTCCATCGTTTTGAATTTTTTCGTACATATTTGACATTGATAAGGTCCTGAAAATATCAAAATACCAACCATACACATGTATACCAGATATAAACAGATATAATTTTGTTTAATGTTCTAAAATACCTTTTTTAACCGACAAGATACTAATGACGGACAAAATTTATATAAAGAGGTATAATTTTCAGTACTTTTTGATAAAAAAAGACAATAGTGTTGCATCACTTGTCGCGGAGAGGGCACTACCAGCGCTACGGATACTTTATTCGATATCCAACACTTTATTTTTGGAAATCAGATTAGCCTTTTCTGCGTAATTAGCAGCTTTATAATCGATAAATATGATGTATTCAAAACTCACTTCTGTCTGTTCCAATTAATGGTATACCTTACACAACCCACTGCAGTATATCAATTACTTAATCTAATAGCATACTGAAAACAATTAGTGGGAATATTTATTAGTGATTCAATTGGTCATATAAAAATAAAAATAATTTTAAAGTTATGAATTTGCTAACTTGAAACAATGTGATTCATATAGCTAAGCACTTTGAATTTTTCATGTGCAGCTTATTTCACCAACAGGATCTTTAGGAGAAACTAACAGACATTAAATCTGTTAGAATTTCACTCACCACAGATTTTTTCTTCATGTCTGATGTGACGTCGTTTATGTCGTTTTAAGTAGTCAGGTTGTCCAAATTCTTTCCCACAAATATCACACTTCCAAGGTCCATCCCTGAGACGGATTTTGCCTAAATTGTTTTTAAATATATCTGGTATTACATAAGTAGAGTAGCTTTACAGCATCTTATCAATAAGTTAACAAATACATGAACTGTAGTTTGACACATTGGCTAAATGGGAAAGAACCCTTGAAGAATACAAAATCTATCTTATCAGCAACATGGTTTTAGAAAAGTAAGATCATTTGCATATTACTGGAGTTTTTTCCCAACACCAAACAGTTATTTCAAAACCTCAACACGTGTTTTGATCATCAAGTGATTATCTTCAAGAGAAAGATCAAAACAGTTTTGATCTTCCTCTATTTGGTTTCAGTTTGGCTTGAAATGCTATCAACCACTGTGAATTGTTTACGATTTGGAGGTACGTTTTTAGTGAAGAGAAAGCATTTCCTCTCATTCCAATTTCTTTAATTTTTTCAAGGAATATCAACAACATCAAATGCTTTTCGTAGATCAACAAATACATCAATAGTGTAGTATTTATCATCCAGTGAAGAAGCAATGTATTTATAGTTGCATTCAGGGTGCTACTATTTTCTTGGAATCCATATCGGTAATTGTCAAAGTCAACAACACATTTTTTTCATGTAATTGATAATATGTTCTTTAAAATAAATTCTATTACTTTTGATGGCTCCCACCGAGCAACGTCTAAATGACTCCAAAAATGACTCTCCTCGATAGTAAGACTTAACAGACTGTCTCTGGTCTGGATTCCTGGCCCTACTGGCCTGGAAGGAAATAAGGCTGCTGACTCTTTTGAAAAGGAGGTTGCTGCAAGCAGCTTCATCGGACCAGAACCAGTCATTGGCATCACTTCTATGCCTTGCCAAACAAAGAATGCTGAACACCTGGATGACAAGAATATTTATTCACCCTTTGAAGCTTGATACCAAACAGTTGTTCAACTACAGTAGGGATGAATTACCGTGTCTAACAGGCCTTCTTACAGGTCCCTGTCATATGAATCATCATATGCAGAGACTTGGACTGTCGGAAGACAGTGTGTGTCGCCTCTGTTTGGATGATGAAACAGCAGAGCACATGTTTTGTGCCTGCCTCGCTGGGGACCGAATCATGTTTTTGGAGTTATTTCCTTAATAAGTTTTCGGATATTTAGATTATAGTTATTGTTAGTAATAAGTATTTGGTAAAATATATTCCGCATTTTTGCATCACCCGGTATATTATTATTATTATAAGTGTGTTTCTTGCACATATCGTCAAAAAAAAGGGCGAAGAATGCTCTCCGCGATAGAAGTGCAGCTTTTTTCACCAACAGAATCTTTAGAAGTAACTAACAGATATTAAACCTGTTAGAATTTTACTCACCACAGATCTTTTTTTCATGTCTGATGTGACGTTGTTTATGCCGTTTCAAGTAGTCAGATCGTCCAAATCCTTGCCCGCAAATATCACACTTCAAAGGTCCATCCCTGAGATGGATTTGCCTAAAAATTGTTTTTAATATATCTGGTATTGAATAAGTAGACTAGCTTTACGGCATCTTATTAATAAGTTAACAAATACATGAACTGTACAGTTGACAGATTGCTAAATGGAAAAAATCCCTTGAAGAATACAAAATGTTCTCTTATCAGCAACATGGTTTGAAACAACTATTGCTAGTAAATTTGAGTTCTTTCACAATAATAAAATGAAAAGTCAAAGTATGTGGTATCAATTTTATTTGATTTAGCGAAAGCTTGTGATTTAGTGGATAATGAAATCATGATTAGTAAATTATACAACCTTGGTACCAGAGTATTCGTACTTGATTGGGTTAAATTATTCATATCAGACATAAGGATAAACACACTCTTCAAGAAGATACTACTCAAAGTAATATTAGGTTGCCACATTTGAACGTTCCTCAGTACATTGGAGATTTGAAAGCTTGGCCTACGTTGCGGGATCCCTACACAAGTATGATACATAATAACAATTCTGTCTCAAAAGTTGAAAAGTTTCAGTACGTACTCTTGAGCTTGTATAGCGAACTACTCTTGCTGACAAAAAATCTTTCCTCAATGGATGATAATTACGATAAAGTATTCAAAAACCTAGAAAAACGTTATCAAAACAAACGATTACTTGCGATAGGCTATTGGGAAGAAATCAATAATGCTCCAAAAATAACTACAGATTCTCCGTATTTTTTCTGTAGGTTTCAGTTGATCTACTCGGTGTGCACGAAAAAATAATCTGTGTATGTATACTCTTAGATTGCAGAAGTCAAGTGTCATTCATAGCTGATGAATGTGCACTACCTCTATCTGAAATTTCTCTCAATATCAATGATTTGGTATACATGTGTTAATCAGTTTCTAGCTTTATAACAGTTTCACTAAAACTTCATCAAAAAACAAATCCCACCTTTGATATTAATGACGTGATTGTGACAAAAATATGTGTCAACCCTCCTGTGCGTACTTTTTCTGTAGGCTCTCTCTCAGACATAGCCAACCTTCAGTTGAACGAAAATAAATTAAACACTCCAGTTCAAATAGATATATATGCTACTCAGTGCAGATATATTTTCTATGATCTTGAAACTGGGTAAAATATCTAGTGAAGTCAACAAAGATTTAGCATTCAATACCGAGTTTGAATGGATAATAATTAAAAGATATCTGCCAGTCTCTCAGTCATCCGTCAATTTTTTTGTATCTGTTAGTGATTCCCCCATAGAAAAAAAAACTTTGAAAGTTTTATTCAAGCAAAATTACTCTAGTAGATATTTTGTGCCCTTGCCTTTTCGAGTTCAAGAACCCTTTTTTGGATATACGTGATCTCAAGCATTCCACAGGCCCTACCTGCTCCTACAGGTCCTTCCCAGAATCATCAGTGAATTCTCTAGGGGTTTTCTCTTCGAGATCTGATTCAATATTTTGAATTGAAAACTGTGGTATCAGGGGTTCAGATTCTCTGTCAAATGGCAAGTCTGAATTGATAGCGTTGTTAAAGATGGGTGGATTCAAGTTACGTGAATGGACGAGTAATCACCCTTCCTTCTTGGACCATCTTCCTCCCAAAGATTGCCAACAATCCCCTCTCTCATTTGACACTCAAGACTTTGCTGTGAAAATTCTTGATTTGAGAAATAAACCGTCCTGTCCTAGTACAGAACATAGAAAACTCTTTCTGACTTCCTGAAATAATGTAGAACCCCACATTTGGCGCAATGGTGGTCACTGGCAGTCATCGATATCAAATTTTCCATCACATTTGTGTTGGCATTTTTTTGCAGAGATATTCAAAGTTCATTTGTTTGCAAGTATATTGTCTTTTTAAGAAATGTATGACTCCTCTCTCATACGAGCCAGGGTTGATTTGCGCCGCTGTAAACCCAAATGATTACAATGTATTAGGTTCGTTCCAACCTTGAGTCACAAACAGATTTCCAACTGTTTGTAAATCGTTGTCAACGCGCATGTCTGGTAAAAGTTAGATTGCAGACATGTACAAGTGGTTGTGAATTAACAATATGCTCAGCTTCCACCAATAATGTTAATAGAACTTCTTCACGTGGCGATTGTTCTTTGAGGATCGCTTTCAGAACTGTTTTTACTGATTGTACCAAACCCTTCCGACTACCACTCACGTATGGTGTACCCAGAGGAGTGAACAACCACCCCATTTCTTTAAATGTCAACTCTGTGTTCATCTTTTCTGTTTTCAAATCTCTCAGAGCCTGTTTCAATTCTTTATCTGCCCCCTTAAAGTTTGAACCGTTATTGGAGTATATTTTTCCTGGACTCAATATCCCTTTCTCCCTATAAGTCGACATATGACCATATTCGCAAAATAAGTTCAGAGAGATGAAGTTGAATTTTGTAAGTAGTCTGAAAAATTTAAAACAGATTGAAGCCTATCTTCTTTAACATTTGGAATTTTTGGATTCTGGTAATTAAGTCATTCACAATCATTTCCGGTTTTCCAAAACGTCTCTCCAGAATAGAAATTATTTTATCTACTTCCAAAGTGAACGTTGAAGGAAATTCTACACTTTCTCTGGTTTTTCCAGGAAGACAACTGTTTAATCTCGTTATATTTTCCCTTTTATTGAAATTGCACAAATTTGTTTGTTTCTCCATATTGGGTGATGAAATGTAACCATTTTGCCGATTCTCCCGAAAATATAGTATAGGTGAGTTTTTACTAAGACTGTCTAGCCAAAAAAGTTTCCACTTTATTTTCATCTATAGACCCTACAAATTGAATCGACTTCGCTTTCCCAATCTTGAACATGAGCTGTACTTGCATAATCAGATATTTGTAGACTTCTAGTGTTTTCTGAATCTGAATAACCTATTTGTGCTTTCTTTAACTTCTAACTGCCTTACCTCTAGTTCTGATTTTTTCAGTTCCAGAACACTTTTCAGTTATTCTATTTTTTGTAAATTTCTTTTGGACCTTTTTTTCTATTTTTGTTTTTTTTTCGTAGTAGATTTAAAGATTTTCAAAGACATCGCTTTATTATTATTCGTTTCGCATGCATTATCCATGTTTTCATTACGTTTTTCTTTCAGCTGATCACTATGTCGAACAGGAACGGACATTTCTCCAAGGACTATTCAGTTTTGCTAGACGTTTTTTACAGACATGCATTAACAATAAATAACCTCTCTCTCAACAACTTACTTTTTTGAACATGTTTTACATTTGAAGTCAGTTTCACGTTTTTTCTTCTTTTGTAAACCATTTCCTACTTTCTCATGGGCTTTTCCATATTTTTTGACTTTTTCATGAATTTGCAAATGAATTTTATAGGCTGATCTGCGGTTGAAATATTTACCACACTTATTACATTTGAACGTGGAACCAAGTAGAATAACTCGTTTTGTTCTTGAACCGTCTGAGTCCTGAAAACACTTGAGGGTCTTGATTTCACTGGATGCAAGAGTAGAAATTAATTTATCAATTTCTTCAGTAGAAAAATCTTTGGCAGATATCAGTCTGTTGTGGTTGGGAAAATATCTAGGTAATACATCAGCAACATAAGAATTTTGTAAAATTGTCACTTCAAAATTTGTGGACTGTTCAGGACTATTTTCTTACTTGGGAGCAATTAAAATTTTTTGAAGATTTCAAACGACTCAATATTCTCTTCAAGTTATGCATGTTGGGAAATCCCAACCTTCTCCTGGTTCTTTCCCTTTTTTATTACCTCTCCTTTTCTTTTCTCTCATTTTAATTTTTTGAATTTTTATTCATTTTTTACCATTATTTTTTTCTATCTTCATGGCCCAAAACTTCCCAACTTTTCCCAAATTTTTCCCAAGTCGAAAAAGCAGGGGGGAGGCTCCCCCCCCCCATGGCGACGGCCCTGTATGCTACAGATCACAATACTGCCGTTCTATGGTATCAGAGGGCTGCCACTTGAACTAATTACATCCTATTTGAAAAATAGATAGCAATGTGTCACTGAAAGGGATACTAGTGGAAATCTAATGAAATCAGAAATGCTATATATTGAAAGAGGTGTACCCCAGGGGTCAGTGTTGGGCCCACTACTATACATTCTTTACGCTAACAATGTGCCTGAAGTTGTTGATGAATACATGGTACAGACAGCTGAAGACTGTTCTGTGGTTTTCAATTAAACCGATCACAACTACCTACAGGCAAATATATTTTTCAAGCTAAAGTTTCTGGAGGAGTACTTTACATCACACAATCTCAAACTGAACAAAAACCAGACACAAATCAAATCTTTTATCCAAAACGGCACAAATAGTACTTTAAGTGATGGTGTAACTTTAGAACCAGTGACCCAACTTTTCTTTCTTGGAATTATAATTAACTCAAAGCTGGACTGGAAGAGCCACATAAATAAAGTGGCAACACAAATGTCAAGGTAATGTTTTGCTCTGAAAATAATTACACAAAATATATCCACTGATGCTGCGATGTTAGCATATAATGGTTGTATTCAGAGTCACAGTAGATATGGCATTATGTTCTGGGGAATGTCTGCACATACACAAAAAAAAATCATAATGAAAAAACGGTGTCTCATAAAAATATTCAACCATTCTCAGAGAGAAAGCTTTAAAAAAATATTCGTAGGGGTCTCTATATTTATGAATCTGTGATATTTGTCAAAGAAAATATATATCTTTTTGTGACTCATTATAGGAACCATACCCACAACACACGAAACAAAAATAACCTTTTGAATATAAATACACATATACCTATACATATACCTTTTTCAATCATTAATATTTATAACAAGATACCCCGAATCTCTCAGAACTTTGTCTTATATGATCATGAAGAATAAACTGAAAACTTTGCTTCTCTCCAAAGCTTATTATTTGCTGGAAGAATTCTTTAATGATAATTTAAACTGATGTTGTTCGCGTTGAATATTTTATGTCGTATCATTCTGCATTGTGATGTAGTTTAGTCTCTTTTGAACCTTACATACAGATGTGTATGTTCGTGTTCTGTCTGTCTAATGTGTAATGTGTTCTGTCTAATGTGTATGTTCGTGTTCTGTATCTAATATAATAATATTACATTAAGTATATTGACTGTGATAACCTTGTTATCACAGTCAATGGCTTCTGATTCTAAAAATCACTTATCTCACGGTATGGGGAGTACTTATCGATTAATGCTTCTAATGTATCGCCGCTGCAGAATAAGGGTAGTCCTACAATGACTTGCTACAATTTCCTACATGAAGCACTTGCAAGAAAATGCTCACTTGTTTTTGTAGCTTTAGTCAGCATAGAATCAAATTAGTAATAGAGGATTGAAGAACAGGTAACACCGAATGATTTATAACATTCTTCATCATGAAAACACCAGCTCCCAGACAGTACATAAAACAATTGATTGGAAGGAATAGAGACTGATCAACCAGCTGAGTAGAAAATGTTGGATTCCTCATATCAGATCAAATGTCAAACAAGTCATCCGTAAATGTGACTCTTGCAGATGTCCCAACCATTATCAACAAAAATGGATTTATTGATAACTTTGGTCCTTTCTGGTAAAAATAGGATGCAGAACTGAAAAGCGCTTTGAGGTCCTTCTTATCTCCTTAACAATCGTTTCAATTCATGTGGGATTGCACATTTTCTCTAACTACGGACTTGTGCTTCTTAGGTGTTTCTTAGCCAGGCATGGGCCAGTAAACGTTTTTTGGTCTGATAATGGAAGTAACCTGAGAGAAACAAGTCGCGAACTTATGGATGGTAATACATGACATAACCAATAGAGGAATTGAAAAGAAAACTTTACCGCCACCTAGCCCGAATATGAGAGGTTGTTGGGAACATCTCATTGGATGTTTCAAGAGATCTCTCATAGTTATCATGAAAAGCTGACATCTTGTGGAAAAAGTACTGAAAACGCTGTACAGTGAGGCGGAGTATATTGTCAACAGTAGGCTACTTACTCACGTATCTACAGATCCACAAGACTTGGTCAATATTTCACCAAATGATCTTCTGATTTGAACTTCAGCAACACTATTAACACCAAGTATTTTCAATGAGAAAGATCTACTAAAGCAATAGTGGAGGAGCTCTCAATATCTGGCTGATATATTTTAGTTACGGGAGTATTTTCCAAGTCTGGTGAATAGAAGCAAGTGGAACAAAGACGACTGTAATTTAGAAGAAGGTGAACTTGTGGTAATCAATGAAAACAATTTTCCAAGAATAAAATGGCCAATGGAAAGGATCAAAAGAGTATATACAAGTTCTGATAGTATCGTCAGAGTTGCCGATATACAGCTGGCATAATGAGTCTACAAACATACTGTGAGAAAACTCCATCGTCTCAATATCTGTGCTAACGGGGAAGTTTGCATAGAGGGGGAGAATGTTTGTATCGAGTTGAAGAATAAAATTTGAATATTTTCTAAAACAGTCGAATTCATAAACAGGGAGATGTCGTTAATCTTACTTGTAACGTATAGGACATGTCAGTACAACATGTTAAAATAGTATAAAGAAAATAAACACTCTTGCCACTCTTGAATCATTAGAAAAACAAGAATAAATTGAATAACCTTCATCCAAGCTTGGTTGGATCGGCCAATCCCATCATCTGTTTAAAATCTGTTTTTCCGTTAATCAGCTGTCGCCCCCATACGAACGACAACTCTCAGAAATTTAGAAACTTGCGCGAGCAAAGGACCAACGAGGTCTTACCTTTTAACGTGTGATTCCTAACACTCTCCTTGAGTGGTCTGGGCCATATGTATGCTGCGAAATAAAGTGACCCATCAACTTTAAGATAAACTCTAAATTTTAAAACAAGGACTTGCCGGTCGGTTCGACATGGGTACTTTGATTCGACTTTTGAGGGTTGTCGCCCGTAGGGGTGCGACAGCTGGTTAACAGAAAAACAGATTTTAAACAAATTGCAAAATTAAGAATTACCTCTGAAGCAACAGTTGGAATATTTAAAGTTATTTGTATCTTTTGTCAAGAATAAACGAAAAAAATAATGAATTTTCACTAACCTATGATGTGCTGTGAACACACAGAATTTTTTGAAAACTCTTCCACATTCCTTACATGTCCAAGTTCTAGTTATACCTTCATTATGGGTGAATTTTAAGTGATTTCTCAATGAGTTAGCAGTCTTAAACTCTTTTGGGCATTTATCACATAAGTGCGAGATATTTTTATGTAACAATTGATGTACCCTCAACTGAGCAGGACTTTTATATAATTTTCCACAAACTTCACAAATGTAACTGTTTGGATCATTGTGGACAATTTGATGTAGATACAGTAGATGACTATTAGCAAAGCCCTTACCACATTTTTCACAAATATAGGGAGGATGTATTTTGATATGGAATTTCAGATCCTCTTTTGAAGGAAACCTAGAAAAAATAAAGAGTTAGATAATATTACACTGCTAATAATACCAATTGAACTTAAGAATTCACGGAATTTCGAACATTAATTTAAAAACGGTCAATACATAGTCAATAAAAGATTCTCGTAAATGAAATAATTGCACTAGTTTCTAACCTTCGAAGTAACTTATCTCCATCATTGCTGAAAAAATTAATTGTCTTTGATTATAAAATCCATGCAATAATAAAAGGGGCTAATTACTAGACTGCATGAAAGAAAGAAAAAAGGCGATTTTTATCAATAATGAAGGTAACAAAGGAAAGTTGACATGTACTAAAAAAAACACATTTTAAATAAACACTGAGTTCAATATCAACATATTTGATATTATGATTTAAAAGTGAATAGATTTTTCTTAACCATAATTCTAAAATTATTTCAATAAAATGTTGTGCTAGTTTTGATCAAGTTAAAAAAGAAGCAGAAAGTGGACAAGAAAAAATAATAGTGTCAAAGCTATTTCGCGGGTTTGTTGTCCGTGCTTTGCAGATTTTTATGCTGACCTTTCGTATAATAGTGCGGTAGAAATTATCAAAGGCGATGAGGCTACAGTTTTATTCCATTGGTGGTGAGGGTGACTTCGTTTATATTGGGTAACATTTTCTCTGTGTTACACAGATAACAAATATTGAATGTGTGCTCAGTATTGATAACAGGAATACAAACAAATTATTCTCACGTTTTCCAAATGACATCTCCTGACGAGAAAAATGGTGTTCAATGACATACTGCCAACAAAAATGTGTTCAAATTTCCAAACATTCGCGATAAGTTTTTGTAATGAATTATCCCTTTTGTCAATGTCACTCTATGCATGGGTTCTCAATAAATAAATAAGTGATATTCTCATTCAAATTTAACTTTTTTTTAACAAAAAATATCATAACTTCAATCATACTTTGTAATTATGACACTTTTTTATCAACATTTTCCTCAAATGTCAGAACTAAGCCAGGTAAAACTGACTCCCGTCGGGCAATACACTTATGTACATACTACTTTCAAATGCCAAATAAATAATAATAAATGTCATTTATTGGTGAATACCAAAGAGCCATCGACAGCCAGTGTACTATTTTCAAATATATGCAGTGATTTTCACATATCCTTACATAATAGATTTGAGGTACATTATATTTCTGACAAAAAAAAATTATAAATTATGAGAGTGATTTGATGTTTTCCCAAATAGTTTTTTCCGTGTATTTGAATTTGGATGGTTGTTCTTCAGCTCTTTCCCTACATAATGCCTATAGAGTCTCCAAGTTAGTTTCATTTTTGGCAAAGCGGTTTCCTAGGTCTGATCTCTCCTTTTTAAAACCAGTTCGAAGCTTGGCATGCCGTGGGATGTCATACATGATACATTGCAGAACTTGTCAGTGGCGGTTCGTTCGCTTAATTACCGTGTTAAATTCACCATGAAAGTGACAGTATTTCCTCATATTTATCCATGTACATCACAAGCTTTTTTATAAATTTTGTATTCGCTGGTGATTTTCCCTCTGACTTCTAGTTTGAGTTGAACGTACGAAATGTCTTTATTTTCTCTACAAACACTCAAAAGTTTCATTGTACAATAACCTAAAAGTTACATGGGTAAATCAACTGTTAACCTTGATAGTCTGGAATATCAAAAAAAGGTTGGAGATTTGCCTCTTCTATAGTTACTTTCACGGGAAGTGTTCAAGTGACTTGGCACATATAAGAAATACGCGACGGACTGTGGTTGCTCATCGTTTTGAGGTTCGACTCAGTACACCTTCATTGTTCAAGAACTCTTTAATTTGAAGAACTGCATTCATGTGGAATAAACTTATTTCGAACGTTTTTCCAAATGGATTAAATCTCCTGCGATTCAAATCCAATGTGAATCACTACTTTCGCACAGGCACCGCTCTTAAGGATTTTTCTGTAGTGCTTGTGTTTTGTTCTTAAAAAAAAATAACTTTTGGTGAATGGTCTAATATAGCTTTCACATATCCTTCAAACAAATCAAAACAATCTACTAAGTATAAATAACACAAATTCAAATTATCATTTGAAAATTGCCACTATGCCGAATTAATATTGTTACTTAATTGGTCGCCACTGTAATGTTACACACGACAAGATTTTGAACGTATCATTAGAATCTTCTTATGAATATTAAGGTAGAAGAGTGTATATACCCTTTAGATGAGAGCAAAATATAAATATGTGGGACGAACCCATTGTTGACAAGTGGGTTTAAATTACTTCGGAATGTGCAAAAGCATTTCAAAGAAGAAACTCGTCAAACGCCGACAATCGAAACGCGATGAATTTCCTCCTTCGACCTTTCGGGTTTCTCAGGTTTACCCCTGAACGGTATCACGTACTCTTGAACTCTCTCCTCAAAGTGCTGCACTCTCAAGCAACCCGACTATGAGGAGAGGTCCTCCCGAAATTGACGGCGGTCACTACGGGCCTGACACCCTCTATGGACTGTGGGCCCGTTCAAGAAGGACTTGACTTTTAGTGACGGCCCTGTTTGGGGTTATTCACATTTGCGCTTAGGAGTTAAGTTTTTTCTGAAATGTTGACATAGTTATAATAACTGTTTCGTTTTTCTCTGGTCACTCTGTATTTCAATAACCAAGTTTTGATTTTTCTTATACATCTAGTTTGAAACAAATTGTAGCTCAGAGTCTTTGAAAAATCTAGTCAATACTTGACCAATTTTGATTCTGTACATTGTATTCGGTTTAATATCTGGTGAAGTTTGTTGTCATACTAAAGATAATTTGGTAAAAAGAGATCTATTGCACCCGAAAATTATTATGGTTAGTAGCAGCACGACAAGTGAATAGTAGATAAGAGTGAAGCTCCGATAACAATAGACTTCAAGTGGAAAAACATTGCCAAAATTCGTGATTTTCGGATCGAAGTATTTTTACAAGTGACATCTTGTGATGGAATAAATTTTATCGAGATTTGAGGTACTTAAAGTGCATGTTTGAACAATCAAGCAAGCAACAAAAACTATATCTGCGGCCTTTTTTTTTAGTTTTTTGTGCATGAGTATAAGAAAGGCCTTATCTAGTGACATTTATTTATTATTTATACGTGAAAAACCGATAAGAACAAAAGAAAGGGGATTCCTTCAGTAAATCAGGTAACCAGTGGCGTAGCTCTTTTTAAAGAAAATGGCAATGTTTAAATGCTGTAAAACCAGACCCGCCCCCTATTATTTCGGTGTAAACTGCTCCAGTATGTATCACAAATCATGTGTTCTAAGTAACAAGGGGAAATTACAATTGTTGAGTGGTCCAACAATAATGTGTTGTGAAAAACAAAAAACAAATTAAATATCCCTATTGGAAATGGAAAAAAGCATTCTAGAAAAAACATTAGAGGATATGGAAGAAGAAAATGAATTAAAAAACAAAAATATGGTACAAATGAACTTAGAAAGACACAAATTCGTAGAAGACGCTATCAAAAGTGAAGAAGAATTGAAAGAAATAATAAATATCCGTGAGAAAGAGATTGCGATAGCCAATGATAAAATTGAAGAACTCGAAACCCAGTTAAGATTGGCACGTAAAGATCATACTAATTCCGAAACTCAAACTACATCCAACACAAGGTCCGTATCTGTACAAGCCACAAGGAAAATTAGCAAACACAAAATAGTCAGTGTACAAACATAATTAACCGTAGAAGAAATCACAAATTTACAACAAAATAATAAAGTTTTTGGAAATGAAGCAGAAATTCTGAAATATGATATGAGGAAACTAGAAGAGAATATACGGAAGTTGACAATATTGAATGATAATATGATCACATCCATAGAAGTTTCAACTGCAGAAAATGATCAATATAGAAGGGAACTGGAAAAGTGGAAAAAATATGTAAAATGTAACAATGAACAAAAGACAGACGTTAAACAAAACATATGTTGAAACAACATTCAAGATGATTGTCAAGAGGGGAGAAGAACTCACGGTAGTCAAGATTAAGCATTTACATTAAACGACCATGTTATAATCGCAGCAGGTTTGACAAATGCTATGAGAGGTAAAGGGATAAATGAAAACATATTTGACGTACTTAAGGGCACCTATATGGGCAAACCGAAAAGTTCTAAACAAATTTTTTGAAGATATTAATATAAACATTCATCATGAAGTTAAGGAAATGAAAAATATTGTATTTTTGCATGTCATATGGTGAGATCTGCCGCGACGTCCGCTTCCTCCACGTTCTCCGGTATCCCCCGGATCACTGCGTGGAGTGGGATTTCTTTCTTTAAGGTGTACGTGTGGAATTCCAGGCGGAATTCCTCCATGTATCTTGTGGCTTTGCGCCACTCTTCTTCGTTGTTTGCGTAGATGTATATTCCATCTCTAGTAAGCCTTGCCTTATTATACCCGATTTTACGGGCTTCGAGACCTCTGGAAATCTCATTCCACCGTTTGCTGTCATGGACAACTATCGGTGGTGGTGACATGGGTTTTGTCTGTTTCGGATGCGTATCCGCGTTTGTTGATCCTCCTTGTTCGTTTGGCCTGTCCTCGGTTTGCCTGGGGGTTGGCCAGACTGGGACCTCTGGAGTTTTTCTTTCCATGGTTGGTACTGTTGGTACGTTCCCAATAATGGACGTCTCTTCCGGGTTCGTTATTTCTTCTGTCTCCATTTCCTCCGGTTTCTTTTGTAATACGACAAGTCGCGAGGTTCTCTTCCTTGCTTTCCTTGCCTTTCTCGTTTCAGCCTTTTCGAAGCCGTCCTCTGTCTCCGTGTCGGTAGTATTCTCAGGTTTTCTTTGCCTTTTCTGGGAGGCTTCTTTTTCTTTTTCCGCTTCCTTGATGGCGGCGGTGTCTATTTTCTTTTCTTTTTCTTCTTGTTGGATCTTCTTTTCGTTTTTTTCCGGTTTTGCTGGGGCTTTGATTTTGGTTTCCTCCTTATTTTTCTCCTGTATTTTTTCGTGTATTTTTTCGGCGGGTTTTGTCTTTTCTTCTAGCCTTCTCCTGAGGGCTGCGTTTTCGGCCAATATTTGGTCGAACTTCTTGTTCATATCAGCCATTTGGCTGACCAATTTGTCCAGTGTATCTCGTAGTTTTGCATTATCTTCTTTCAGAGCTTTGTTTTCAGCTTCCATTTTTGCCACTTCTAGTCGATGTTGTCTCTACGAGCTCTCGATGTGTCTTCTGTCACTGAACGTGTCAACCTCTTGTTTGTCCTTTTATGCGGTCCGAACGCCTCAGTGCAGGTGATTTAGGTAAATTTGCCTGTATTTGGGTTACACCAGGTAGAATTCTTTCTGTTGGATCTTCTCTAGGTTTACTGTTCCTAGGATTGTGTAATATATTGTAACAAATTAAGAACAGAACAACAACACACAATTAGTATAAATTCAATTTCGAAAATTCACAAACTGACAACGTCATACCAATGTAATTGTCACTATCGCTAATAGCGACCTACTAGATAGATTAGTTTCGTATTTTAACAAACTGGAAAAAGCCCTCCTGAAACAGCTACTCTCATATAAACATTGAATCACATGAAAAAAAAATCTTTCGAAACAAATACTTTTATATGAACGCTGAATTATACGTTTGTATTACAAACATTCATCAATTATTTGAATCAAATGAATAAAAAAACATCCAAGAAAATAGCCCAAACAAATATCCACATGAATGCGCATGAACAACGGTTACAGTTCTCAACAGTTCAGCCTCGAGAGCAAGAACGATTCGGGACGGTTCAAGACTGTTTAGGATCACTTCGCAGTCGAAACCAGAACGGAGGATTCATCAATCCAAACTTATCCTCAATAAACCAGAACGCTCTATATCAACTGCGTACGATCCTGACGTCCTAGAACCTGAATTTCGTAGAACCAGAACAAACCTAGGAGTGTACTCATTCCGATTAGGTTTGTTCTGGTTCTAATATTCGAAACTGTTTGGAAACTGCGCAAGACATGGCGCGTACACGCAAAAAATCTCAAACAGTCCGAAATAGTCTCGGACACTTGTTTAAACCAGAACGCTTTTGAGGAGACCACTGTGCCACCTATCGTTCATATGAAGAGATGAAGACGAGAAAATACTATTAATCATGCCCATTTTGTTATGTAGCGTATCCCTATAGTCAGTTCAAATGTTATCTACCCTCACTCATCAATTATTCAAATCAAATAAATAAAAAAACATTTTAGCAAATAGCCCAAACAAATTTCCACACGAATGCGCATGAGCAACGGGAACAGTTCTCAACAGTTCAGCCTCGAGAGCAGAACGATTCGGGACGGTTCAAAACAGTTTAGGGTCATTTCGCAGTCGAAACCAGAACAGAGGATTCATCAGTCCGAAATTATCCTCAATAAACCAGAACGCTCTATATCAATTGCGCATGATCCTGATGTCCAAGAACCAGAATTTCGTAGAACCAGAACAAACCTGGGGTCTTGGATGAGATTAGTATCGTTATTTTTCGTCACTACCTCCTCGCGCTGCCTTCCTTGGATGTGATTTACCTCAATTTGGCTTGTACTGAGACATGTATGGCTTAATCTTTGAGACTAGCAGTATCAACCAGGGAGCTGACATTCCATCGTAGAACTAGTTCAGTTTCATGATATTAAAATAATAGGTAATAAATACGGAAACACATCTTTATTCTCTTTTCGTGCCTGTTATTTCTAGGCGGCACATGCCTAGGCATATCGTTGGCCTGTCGAGAAACATTTCTCGGGCCAGCTTGGAAATGAGAGTTCATTTGTGAATGATGAGAATTCGAGAAATTATTTTCTCTTTGATTTCTGAATTCAACTTTTTGTGCCCTTATATCGGCCTCAATAGCGTTGACAGTATCTAGCAACTGTTCCACGCTGTCGAATCGCTCTCTCCTGAGAAAGCAGCGAATTTCTGGCTTAGTCAGATTAATTATCGTGGGGAACATAGATTTTTCGTCTATATCCCCGAATAATCTTTTCGCCAACGCTATCTTCCTTAAAATAAATAAGTCCGTTTGCAACGACTCATCTTGGATCTCCCCATAAAATTTGGACGTAAGTTTGGCAATCACTTGTGGACTATTATACGTACATAAGATACGATTAGTAAGGAATTCCCAGTCTACCTTACAGTGTCTATAAACGGCAGCCCATTCCGCGGCTTTTCCCGCTAATCGCTCCTTAAGTATCGTAACCCATTCCTCTCTAGGAATGTGATACTTACGTAGTTTGTCCACGAGACTATCGATAAACTCTTGTGGATTCTCATTATCGATTCCATTAAAAGTTGGCAAACTATCCTTATCCAACGTAGGAATTATCGGTCTGGCATTCTGTCCCTGTTTGATCGCAGTTAACAGAACTTCTGCCAGCCGATTTATTGGGTCAGTATTGACCGTTTGTTGCGTTTGTTGGGGAATACTTTCTGTATCCCGTGTTTCTGGGCGCCATCGCATTTCGTTATTAAAGCCATAATGCGAAAAAGGCTTGTTATTATTGTCAAACGTGACACTTCTTTGTTCTCTAACCTCGCTTACTGTCACGAACGGATTTGTATTTCCACTCACATACTCGTCCGAATTCAGAAACGGATTTGTCGAGTTATTTCCTCGTTCAGTGACTAGCGACGAGAAAGGATTTGTCGTAGAAAACATCATATTTTCACTATTAGCGTTATTATACGCAAAATTGGCCCCACGGTGGCCAGCGCCATGTAGATAACTCGGCGTACTATGAAAATGAAAATTGTTATTCATTTTCTCGGAATTGTCGACTTTTACCCCGGCTAGGCAAATGAGTTCGTTCGTCGACGCCAAGCATCCCAGAAGACCAGAGCCGGGACGCACTCTTGGCTCCCGGAGGATCTCTTTCGTGTAGAGACTACACGAGAAACTCACCTTTTAACTGCAAAATCTCGACTTTATTATTAAGTTCCTAATTGCAAGCTAATATCTAAACAAAAATCGCGGGGGTACGGTGAGACACCACGTTGGCCGCTAGGACCGGTCTCAGAGTTTTCCCTAACGATCCCTGTCCTATACGACACACAAAACCCGAAGTGACCTACCTAATATTCCTATCACCGGAGATGTGAACAGTCCCCGGGGACTCAAGGGCTTTTAAGCCGCCGAGCGTCAATGCAATGAGAGCTCCCTCGTGGAAACTCTCGTAGACGGCTCGGGTAGGCGTACCTCCGGCTGTATTCACTGTTGGTGCAGTCAATACGGCGACGGAGGCCTTTTCCTTGGAAGTCCCACGTTGAATCCCGGTGTCCAGGCAGGTACCACTAAAGTTTCACTAAGGAGAAAGTCAATTATAGTTCAGCACTCACCAGGTCTAGAAGATGGTACTCGAATTCACTTGTTTCGAACTAATAAGTTCGGATTCAGTTTAGTTTGTCTTGACAAAGACAGGTTTGTGTGTTTCACTGTGTGTGATGCTTTACGAATTCATTTGGGAAGTAATTTGGGTTTAATTACTTCCCACACACTTGGCTCGGTATAGCCTCTGCAACTACCGTTTTATACAATGCTACTTGCAACCAATACCCAAGAAGGTGTATATGAACGCAGATTCTCACTGGCGAAGACTTCTCTCAAGATTCAATACTCCACTGAGTAAAGGACGCTGACTATTTAATTCCGACACTTCGGAATAATCAGGATCAGGTTAAGAACTCTTTCTTAACGGAGAAACTCTAAATTCGCAACCGCTTATAATACACGACAACACCGTATGGCTTTCTAAGTCTGAAGGTAAAATCTCAACTAATAAAATACTGAACAGTAGGTTTAAACTGAGCAGCGAGCTGAACTGAACGAGAGTCAGAACAGAAGTGTCCTGAACTGAAGACAGAACAGAAGTGCTTAAATCGCGATTCTGCGATTTCTTAAATACAGAATTGCATAAGCAATTCTCGCGCGTGGTTGGCTAGCGTCAGCCCCGCCTACTTCTCCGCGAGAGCACAACGCTAGAATGAAATTTTCTCGGTTCCTGAACGTCGAGTATATCGGCGTTCAGGCTACCGTCCGCCGTTTGGACTTAGAAATATTTCGAAGATATTTTTGTCTGCATGTTTAATGCATTGAAATATTATCAAATCTCATTGGATTTCGATGAGATTTCAGGGTAACGTTTAAGTTTTTATTTAAAACGAATTTTTATATTTTTGCGGTTCTTGGGTATTGGTGACATCGGTCGGGTTTTGTTAAATTTCATGACTCCGCCCACAACTGGAAATCGGACCAATGGCGTCTCGTCTAGATGGTATATAATAGTTGGCGTGTATAAGCCGACTCAGTTCATATGTTGTCCGTCTATCGTTCGGTATACATTTCGTTCGTTACAATTCGCAATAGGTTTTGAAAATGGCTCGTACCAAGCAGACCGCTCGTAAATCGACTGGAGGTAAAGCTCCGAGAAAACAATTAGCTACTAAAGCAGCTCGCAAAAGTGCACCGGCTACGGGAGGTGTTAAAAAACCTCATCGTTACAGACCCGGTACTGTTGCTCTCCGAGAAATTCGACGTTATCAGAAGAGTACTGAATTGTTGATTAGGAAATTACCCTTTCAACGTTTAGTTCGAGAAATCGCTCAAGATTTCAAAACCGATTTACGATTCCAAAGTTCAGCCGTCATGGCTTTGCAAGAAGCTAGCGAGGCGTATTTGGTAGGACTCTTCGAAGATACGAATTTGTGCGCCATTCACGCCAAGCGCGNGAATCCTGTGTGATGGAGGATACGATTAGTCAGGAATTCCCAGTCTACCTTACAGTGTCTATACACGGCAGCCCATTCCGCGGCTTTTCCCGCTAATCGCTCCTTTAGTATCGTTACCCATTCCTCTCTAGGAATGTGATACTTACGTAGTTTGTCCACAAGTCTATCGATGAACTCTTGTGGATTCTCATTATCGATCCCATTAAAAGTTGGCAAACTATCCTTATCCAACGTAGGAATTATCGGTCTGGCATTCTGTCCCTGTTCGATCGCAGTTAACAGAATTTCTGCCAGCCGATTTATTGGGTCAATCTTGACCGTTTGTTGCGTTTGTTGAGGAATACTTTCTGTATTCCGTGTTTCTGGGCGCCATCGAGTTTCATTGTTACGGTTCAAACTCGAAAATAACCTTTTATCCTCAGCCAACTTAACGTTGCTGCTCTCTTTATTCACATTTTGTGAATATTCGCTCTCGCTGACGATCTGGTAAAAATCTCCCTGAGCGTCCAGGAAAGTTTCTTCTTCTTCATCATCAGAGCTCACATTTACTAGTGACGAAAACGGGTTTGTCGCAGAAAACCTCGTATTTTCGCTATTAGCGTTATTATACGCAAAATTGGCCCCACGGTGGCCAGCGCCATGTAGATAACTCGGCGTTCTATGAAAATGAAAATCTTTATTCATTTTCTCGGAATTGTCGACTTTTTCCCCGGCTAGGCAAATGAGTTCGTTCGTCGACGCCAAGCATCCCAGAAGACCAGAGCCGGGACGCACTCTTGGCTCCCGGAGGATCTCTTTCGTGTAGAGACTACACGAGAAAACTCACCTTTTAACTGCAAAATCTCGACTTTATTATTAAGTCCCTAATTGCAAGCTAATATCAAAACAAAAATCGCGGGGGTACGGTGAGACACCACGTTGGCCGCTAGGACCGGTCTCAGAGTTTTCCCTAACGATCCCTATCTGTACTACACACAAAGCCCGAAGTGACCTACCTAATATTCCTATCACCGGAGATGTGAACAGTCCCCGGGGACTCAAGGGCTTTTAAGCCGCCGAGCGTCAATGCAATGAGAGCTTCCTCGTGGAAACTCTCGTAGACGGCTCGGGTAGGCGTACCTCCGGCTGTATTCACTGTTGGTGCAGTCAATACGGCGACGGAGGCCTTTTCCTTGGAAGTCCCACGTTGAATCCCGGTGTCCAGGCAGGTACCACTAAAGTTTCACTAAGGAGAAAGTCAATTATAGTTCAGCACTCACCAGGTCTAGAAGATGGCACTCGAATTCACTTGTTTCGAACTAATAAGTTCTGATTCAGTTTAGTTTGTCTTGACAAAGACAGGTTTGTGTGTTTCACTGTGTGTGATGCTTTACGAATTCATTTGGGAAGTAATTTTTGTTTAATTACTTCCCACACACTTGGCTCGGTATAGCCT